ACCACAATAATGTCGTCAAGGTACACTAAGCATGTCTTCCAGGATAGTCCCTTCAAAACCATTTCCATGAGCCTTTCAAAAGTTGCAGGGGCATTACATAGTCCAAACGGCATGACAGTAAACTGCCACAGTCCTGCACCCACGGTAAACGCCGTCTTCTCTCTATCTTCTGGTGCCATTTCAACTTGCCAATAACCGCTCTTTAAATCCAAAGTTGAAAATATCTGCGATCCAGCCAATGTATCCAGGGTGTCATCGATCCTAGGTAGAGGGTAGCTATCCTTCTTCGTCACGTTGTTCAGCTGACGAAAATCGACGCAAAATCGAGTTGATCCATCCTTTTTCTTAACTAACACCACTGGGGAAGACCATGGGCTGTTGGATGGTTCGATCACCCCTTCCTTCTCCATTTCTTGCACAATTTTATCAGCTTCCTCTCGCTTGGCAAGTGGTAGCCTTCTTGCCGACTGTCGAATGGGCTGTGCATCACCGGTGTTAATTTTATGTTGGACAATTCTTGTCCTACCCTTCTTTCCTTGTCCGTCGTCAAAGACATCCTGATAATTGTGAATCAGCTCTTTCAGCTTTATCCTTTCATTGGGTTTCAAATCCTTTGAAGAAGTCGACAGAAGATTCATCAATTCATTGCTAACTTTCTTGGCCGGAACTGCTGACTCACGAATGCCTCTAATAATCGAGGAAACTGAAGAACAGTTTCCCAAAACGATTCCTTTCTTTAAGTTCACAGAGTAATCATTAACATTCAATACTCTTACAGGCACTTCTTTTCCAACGCGTATTAAAGTCTTCCCTACTACAATTCCTCGACCGACCTCTTTGTCATCAATTCTCGGCTCCAGAAGCATTATACTTCCATCTTCTGATTTACAATCCAAGAAAGCCTTCAATATCATCTCGCTGTGTTCCGGTATCAAAGCATCTTCTGTTAGCATCACACGAATATTCTTCTCTTTAGAACGATGCAAAACGACTTCCTCTCCATTTACCCTTAATATTCCTTGCTTAAAGTTCAGTTCAAATCCTATAGAGTTCATAATGTCCATACCTACAATAACTTCATCTTCAATATCTGCTACTAATGCTCGATGTTTAAATTTCGTGTTTCCTATGACCATCGTGATGTCCACTTCTCCACGAACAGTAGCAGTTTCTCCTGTTGCAGTACGTAGTCGCCGATTGGTAGGTTTGATCTTGGACATTTCGACAATATCTGGCCTAATAATCGTCTTCGTCGCACCTGTATCCAGCAGCAGCACATGTAATTTTCCATTAATTAAACCATCCACAAAAACACTGCTGGACTGGTGTAGAAGAGATGCAACACGTTCGATATCTTCTGGGGCATGCTGGTTACAGGTCGACGGTGGCCCCTTTTCCTCGACCCTATCTAGTTTTCCGACTGAGACGAAGTCGGCACCACCTGGCTTTCTCTGCAACGACTTCGTATATGTCCTAGCTTTCCACATCTCCAACACCGGATTTCCTTCTTCTCTGGTAGATTTTCTTTAAAAAACTCGCCTAATTGCTTCAATTATACTGGGTTCCTCCTCTTTCTCTTCCTCGACTCTCCTTATTCTAGGCTGGCTCCTGCAGCTCTGCTTTGCCGCCTCGAATTCCAAAGCTCGAGCCAATGCATCAACCAGTTGGCTCGGACGAGCCAATGTCAGAGCCTGTCGTGTTTCATTGTCCCGAAGTCCATCCAAAAAGGCTTGAACCGCTAATCGTTCCATAACGGTCGTTGGAGTAGCTGGATATGCTAGCCGGACCAAGCGTGCAATATCAGCCTCAAATTCTTGCAAAGTCTCGTTAGATTTCTGGCAGCGATTCTTCAGTTGGGAATGGTACACATGTTCCAGATGTGTCTGGCCATATCGCAGTTCCAGGTGTTTCACCAAGGCTTCGTAATCTTCTTGTTCGTTTGGAGAAAGTGTCTGCAAGATGTCCGTTGCATCTCCGCGTAATGCCAGAGTTAATGCTGTAGCCTTCTCCTCTGGTACCCAGCCATTTGCTTTTGCAGCTGCCTCAAACTGACGGATGTAATTTGTCCAAGAAGATTTTCCATCGAACTGGGGTGGTTTCATCCGTACTCGGCTTCCCTCCGGCACTGCTCCTGGTTCCGTCAGCATCATTGGTAAATTTACAGCTTTCAGTTTACTATTTATTTCTCTAATTTTGACCTCCAATTTCTCGTTCAATTTTTCTTCTCTCGTATCCAATTCCATCCTTACGTTATTTAATTCCATCCTTACATCGTCAACTTTCTGTCCCACTTTCTCTTCTAATTCATTGACATTTTCTAGAATTTTCCCTTCCAAATATTCTTTTAGGTTTTTAGAATTTTCTAGCATTTTCTGTTGAAACTCGTTAGAATTGTCCAAAATTTTCTGTTGTAAATCGTTAGAATTTTCCAACATTTTCTGTTGCAAATCGACTTTTAGTACTTTAGAATTTTCTAGAATGTTCTGTTTTAAATCTTTAGAATTCTCCAACATTTTTTCGTTTAAATTTTGCAACATTAAATGCATATCACACGGGCCTTCAAATAAATACGTATCTGGATTTTCACCTTCCTGCTCCAACGCTTCTCGAAGCCGCTGCTGCAACACATTCTTTTTTCCAGTTGGATCACATTCCCTTTCTTCTAGCTCCCGCTTAAGGTCCGCCACTTTTAAGTCCATTAACGAAACCATTTTCGCGAAGTTTCACACTAACCGCACTCCTGACAACAATTGTAACGTTTTTAACTGTTCGTAGTGTGAATTAAAACACGCTCTGGTTAATTAACGAACTAAACTATTTATTTAATAACTTAACTACACTTAAAACACTATAAAACTAACTAAACTACTAATTATTTATATATCACTATTGTTCAAGAGTCTATTTATTTGCACTTATATTTATTTATTTCGCCGCGAGTACCAAATCTTAACTGACTCGTCTGTGATGCTCCGTTTCTTATATATTCAGCGCCAAGGTCTTCTGGAACATTCCAGCGAGCTCCACACTCTCGATTGTTCGAGCGCTGAGTCACCGGCGATGACTCACCGGCGATGACTCATCGGCGATGAGTCATCACTCCGATATCCAGAGCGGTACTCGCTACAATATTTAAGGGATAAAATCAACTAAATTAGTGAAACAAATGATAGAAACAAAAGCAATAATATTAATTAGTAATCATATTTAATAAAATCTTTAGAAAAATACAGTCATGAAGTTTATCTTCTTTTTAAAGTGTTTCGTGTTACAAAATAACGCGCGCGCCTAACGTTGGCTAACGGAGGGTTTAGATGCAAGTCGGCACGGGTTCCCGTTTATAGAATGAGCTGAAATTTTTACTGGGAGTATATAAACAAGTAATAAATATAATTAGAGGGTATGCGTAAAAAAAATAAAAATAAGGGACACCCTACTATAGAGTCTATAATCATAACTTATAGTATAGACTATATAAAAACGTCTTCGCTCGCCAAAACTTTGTGTGTGATAATTTACATTCCGATTTGCAAGCGGATAAGCGATAAAAAATCCGCGGAAAATTAGAGTTAGATCTACGAAAAATTAATTGAAAATTACAGGATTCGCGCGGTATAACCGACCCAATTTTTTTTTCGCCAATTTTTTTCATATTCGTTTCATTAAAAAGCTACATATTGCATTGGTGGGGGCCCCTAAATGGTGGGGGCCCTGGGGCCGTGGCCCTGCTGGCCCCATGCTAAATCCGGCCCTGTAAATAGGAGTATACTACCCCTATGGATTTTGAGCCGCTGAATCCGAATCCGATCTCAGAATTTCCCCTGGACTCCCAGTTTTCCCCTAGCCAAGGGGAAATGCGTGATATCTTAGAAATTTCATTATCTGTGAAAGCAATTTTGATCTACGCAATATTAAATAACCCGATATTGTTTTCACGTATCTTGAGTCGCTTAGTTCGAATCTCACTGTAGGATTTCCCTAGAGTACCTCAGAATTCCACTAGCCTAGGGGAAAAAGTGTTTTGAGTTCCCAAATTCGTATCGGACGTGAAAAATGTTCATAATTTCCCCCAGTCTATGGGAAAAACGTAGAAAATTGTTTCATGTAGGCCTTTTTCGCACAGGAAAGCTGATACTGTTCATTTTTGTCATCAGAATTTTTATCCAGCTTCTCACAATTACCCTAGCCTATGAAAAATGTGCAAAGATAAGGGAAAATTTCTTAGGTAACTTTAACATTATAAGAAAATAGTAAAAAACATATTACAAAAATTTTAAGAACACCTCCCTGAAAATCTTGGTGATTATAGGAACAAAGAGACGTTTCCACCAAGATATCAAAGAAATGGAGCGACATTATCAGGGATGATGGGATGAACACATGATGGCAGATTTTTGCTGATTGTTGAAGAGGGATGTTTGACGATAAAAGAACAAGGAAAATACGAACGAACTAATATCATGCAATTTTTCGTAGGCTGGGGCAATTGTGAGGAGCTGGATTAAAATTTTCATGACAGAAATGAACACGGCAACTCCGAAGACGGAAATATATCAGCTTTCCCTGTACGAAAAAGGCCTGCATGAAACTTCGATTTTTGCACAATTTTCTACGTTTATCCCTAGGCTGGGGAAATTCTGAAGTACTGTGGAACATTTCTCACGTCAGATATGAATTCAGGAACTCAAAATACGAAATTATATAAGCTTTCTTGCGCAAAAATAGAACCTTCCAGAAATCGCTATAATAATAAATCGTTATAAATTAATCGTTTAATCAAATCTTTATAGATATTGAATGCTTTACAAAAAAGGACTGATGGGTGATTTTTTTTACAATTTGTAAATAAAAATAAATTTGGTATTGCCATTACAATATTTTATTATTAAAAATGTTACTTAACTTTAATTAAGGAACTATAATATTAAGCAACAATGGTTGCCGCATTTTTGCTTGGCACGAATTAACACTAAAGTTTTCAACCGATTGTTAATTCTCAGGTCGCCCTCAAGCACTTTCGTGAGATCATCTCGAAAAACAAACTGGAAATGCTGCCAGGCAACGGCACCATCGTGCTGGACACAGTGTGGATGATAAACCTGAGCGTGAAATCCTCGTTGTCTTCGGACAACAGCAGTTCCGTGAGCTCGGCGACCAACCGCATGTACCAGAGCGTCGCACGCTTGATCAAACTTTGCGACGATGTTCTGATCGACGACAAAAGCGCCGAACTCAAAATGGACAACGTCGAAGAGATTTTGGTGCAAGTTGACGAGGCTGTTAGAAATCTCACCGAGTTGGCAAGGTATGTTAAAAATCTCAACTGAAGATATTTTAATAATAATAATAAAAATAAACGACTTTATTTCATATAAGCATACACTAACATCAAAAAGGCGAAGTTCAATCAGAGATTGTTCTTTCACTTGACCATAAATAGAGATGCGACTTGAAAAAAAACGGTCCGTTTTTTTGTTTTTTTTTCATTATTTTTTTTAAATGTTTTTTTTCACATTTTAGGTTTTTTTTTTAAGATTAGTCCCATTTGCCTATTTTTTTATGTTTTCATGGACTAAAATTAGCCACTAAATGACAATTATTAAATGTAAATACAGTCTCGCGTTATGCACTCGAACAACCACCGATTTGACCAATAAGGGCCGCGCTTGTTTTGATTTGGTCCTAAAAAAAGTAACTACATATAATATTTTTGATTCAGCGCTTGATTTTTCAAAAAGCTACCAAAAGCACTTTTTTCATGATTTTTCAAATTTATGTAGAGTATGGAAAATCTTTTTTTTTATTACGGTATTTGTTAGAATTGAGCGTTACACGTTTTTCATCTAAAAATCTCAAAACCATAAACTTCAAGCTTCAAATTGCTTTTTTACGAAAAATCGCAAAAAAATGTTTATCCTTTAATTTTTTGTAGAAGTTTTACATTGCTATTGGTTTTTAATGTGGAAACTACCAAATAATAAGAAATCAGATTTTTTAGTCTTGGTCAAAATTTTCAAAAATGAAAAATGTGATATATTCTAAATTTTACTCAAAATTTAATTTTGAAAAAAAAAACAAAAAAAACCGTTTTTTTTCTAGGTTTTTTTTTTCATGTTTTTTTTCACATCTGAAATAATAGATGACAAACATAAACTACAAATGAAAGTTTCCAATGTATTACAATTTAGTAAAACAAGAAGACACAAGTGTGAGTACAAAAGATAAATTAAAAGTAGTGCACCAACTATCAAAAATAAAACAATTTTAATAATGTTCTTAAACAATTTCAATAATAATTCTTTATAAAAAAAACAAAATATTATTGTTTTTAGAAAGGCAAACATTGCTTTGAATGCAAATATATTTTAATTTTTCTGCGAAAAGAGTTAAGAGTCAGGTTCTTAAGTACTGGTTTGAGGGCATTATAGATTTTAATCGATCTATATTATTTCTACCATAGGTTACTTTGAAATTTTTCTAAAAATGAATTTGAATTAATAGAAAGTTCTATTAAACACTAAGATTTGACAAAAAAGTAACATTGAGCATTTAGCAAAAATTACAGTAATTTTGATTATTTCAAAACCACTTGGTTTTTGTGCCCCACCCTGTATGATAACAAACAAGAAAATTTTTAAAAATATTTCATTATCGTGTCACAAATGGATGAGATGTCCCCCAAGTGAAAATAATTATTTTTTATTTTTGGTTGTTTCACTGTTAGTCTAGAATGGGGTTTTTGGGAAGCTACCAGATCTAGTAATAACATAACTGCACTAATGCAAGTTTTTTAAGAAATTATACATTTTGAATATTAGAGCTTCACGGAAGATAGCTTCTCTCGTTTCGCTCATACTAAAAATCACGAAGTTAGGCAAACTGCACAGACTTTAATGGCTGCCATTTTTATGTTGTATACAATAACTGTTTACAAGAAATTTTCTTGTGCTTCAGGTTTGTGCTGTTTATACAGTAGGCATTAAAGTACTTTATTCCTCTTTTGTAAAAAGGTAATTTGTGGGTATGGTAAATTAACCTTAAAATTGACATTTGACAGTTTGATTACAGCCCTGATCAAATAAGGTTTATTTTTACAAAAGAGGAGTATTTGAGGCTTCTGTAGGAAACACAACATTTAAAACGATTTTTAATATGTATAAACAGCACAAACCCAAAGCACAATAATTGTAAACAACATAAAAATGGCCGCCATTAAAGTCAGTGCAGTGGGTTGCCTAACTTTGTTATTTTTGGTATGCGCGAAGCAAGGTAGAACATACCTTAATTATTGTTGGATTGTGGTTTAATCATTAATTTTATTAAAGAAAATTGGTAATAATTAACAAATCCTTTTAATTTATCGGTGAAATTAGCTCAAAAATTGATTATTTCTTGCAAGAATTTTCAGAAAATATTATTTAAACGTGTAAAAAATCCTGGGAAACGCTTGATTGCCAACTTGATAGCAAACTATCAAAAGTTCGTCAATACTCTTTGGACAGCGTGGTTTTCTGATGGAAATTACGCGCTCTAATTAAAAAAAAAATGAAATTTTGTAAATTGGCTGAAAAAACTTTTTTACAATATTACATTTTCCTGTTTATTTTTTATTTAATTTTCTAAATTTTATGATTGTGACGGTCATTAATGAAAGTGACGCCCAACGCGCTCTAATTTATAAAAAAATGAAATTTTGTAAATTGGTTGACAAAACTTTTTTACAATATTACATTTTCCTGTTTATTTTTTATTTAATTTTCTAAATTTTAAGATTGTGACGGTCATTAGTGAAAGTGACGCCCAACGCGCTCTAATTTATAAAAAAATGAAATTTTGTAAATTGGTTGACAAAACTTTTTTACAATATTACATTTTCCTGTTTATTTTTTATTTAATTTTCTAAATTTTATGATTGTTACGGTCATTAATGAAAGTGACGTCCAACGCGATCTAATTTATAAAAAATTAAATTTTGTAAATTGGTTGACAAAACTTTTTTTACAATATTACATTTTCCTGTTTATTTTTTATTTAATTTTCTAAATTTTATGATTGTGACGGTCATTAATGAAAGTGACGTCCAACGCGCTCTAATTTATAAAAAAATGAAATTTTGAAAATTGGTTGACAAAACTTTTTTACAATATTACACTTTCCTGTTTATTTTTGATTTAATTTCCTATATTTTATGATTGTGAGGGTCATTTATGAAAGTGGCGCCCAAATCTATAGAGTATACTTTGTATTAAAATACACTTTTCCCTTTCCTAGGGAGAAAATTGCGCAGCAGCAGCAAATCGGGTACAAAACTACGCCGCGCGCGTCTTATGGAAATGCGCTGGAAATGCCGGCGCAACGTAACTCTTTGCCGGATATTCCGTTGTCGCCGCGTGAACGGGAGATTTTGGAGCAAACGTCCTGCAAACAGTCGTTGGTCAGGAACAGTCACAGTACCGAGAGTATACTGAGGGATTCCAGTCCGCCGCCTAAACCTCCGTTACCCGACAGGTAACTAACTTTTACATAAAATGTTCTTTCAGTTTATTTTTTGATTTACCGTGCCAAAAAACAATACAATTCCCAGATTTTAGTAAAGAAACCGTTATAAGGATTAAACAATAGGAGGGTGGTCGTTAACAATTAAATTCTTTCCGACCCCCAAAAAAATCCTTCCTTTCGACGAAAAACTAAGGGGAAAAAACTTTTTTTTGGTTTTAATAAATAAGAACACGTGCCGACGGCCAATTGAAGTTTATTTTTCGATAAAATTGTAGTTTTTTTAAAATATCTCTTACAGAATTTGGTTTTGAGAAAAATTTGTGGAAACAATTTTGTAGGAAATTAAATTCTCTACCAAAAAGGTTTTTATCAATTTTTCCATAAAGTTCATATGTATCAAGATATTCTCATTGGTAAACTTATAAACTTTATTAAGTCAGTCATTTTAGCACTAAAAACTTTATTTTTCCTGAAATATGAACAATTTTGTAAATAGAATTTATTTGAATTGTTCATATTTCAGGAAAAATAAAAGTTTTAGTCCAAACATGACTGACTTGATAGAGTTTGTAAGTTTACTAATGAGAATATCTTGATAAATATGAACTTTATGCAAAAATTTATGAAAATCTTTTTTGTAGAGATTTTAATTTCCTACAAAATTGTCCTCACAAAGAATTTAATTTTTAACGACCACCCTATTAAAGAATAAAACTTTTTATTTATATAAACAGGTCTGTCATATTTTATCAGTTATAACTGAAATAATCAGGCCCGGATCTACAAAATTTCTAAATGGGCTTAAATGTCCCAGTTGCCTCCCTTATTTTTTTTTCGGAGTAAAATGAGAGGGAAATGAATAATTGTAAATTAATTATTTATTTTCTTTAAAAATTATTGTTAATAGGTACATACAGTGCGACCCATTTGTTTGCGACTCACCTCTGTAAAATCTTTATTTATTGTGCGATTTTGACCGAATTTGTTTTAAAGTGTATATTTTGATAAACTGTATTTTTGGAGCAAAAGATGCCATATTAGTACAAAATACAAGGCCTACTATGTCAGTTTTTAAGAGTAGATTTTTAAGAATTTACATATATAAATATTAGCGATTTTTTTAAACAAAATCTAAGCACCGCACTGGATTCACCACCCCTTAAAACGACCTTTTACTAAATTTTATTGAAAAATTTTAAGTAGAAAAATGCACAATAATAACTACAAAATTTATTCTGTCAAGTTATCCTTGAAAAAAACATTGAAATAAAATTAAACTTATAGTAATAGTACCATGTTACTTTTGTTTAATTTTATTTCAATGTTTTTTCATGGATAACTTGACAAAATAAATTTTTGTGGTTATTATTGTGCATTTTCTACTAAAAAAATTTCAATAAAATTTAGTATAGGGTAGTTTTGAGGGCTGGTGAATCCAGTGCTGTGCTTAGATTTTGTTTAAAAAAATCTCTAATATGAATTCTTAAAAATTTACTCTTAATAACTTACATAGTAGGCATTGTGTTTTGTAAAAATATGGCGTTTTTTGCTTCAAAAATACAGTTTATCAAGATCTACACTTTAAAACAAATCCGGTTAAAATCACACAATAAATAAAGATTTTACAGGGGTGAGTCGCAAACAAATGGGTCACACTGTGGGTCATAACTTTATAATTTATTTACTATTTTGTAATTGGATATTTTCAATGGACTCCTTTTTGCAAAAAATACCCAACCAACAGTATATTTAACGTTTACGTTTATTTTCTTAAATCAATTTTATTTAATTCAATGTTTAGTTTTATTATTTATTTTTTCTGTTTTTAAATTAAAATAATGTTAAGTTGTTGACTTTTTTCAAATGTGTATATTTCCCAAAAAGAAAACCATTTTCCCAAAAAGACAATTTTTCCAAGGCCTGTAAAAAATGGAAAAAACAGGTTTTTCCCCAATTTTTCCGTTTTTTTTCGACACTTTAAAACCTTAGTCGAAACAGCTGTCTGTCGGTATTTGAAGTTGGTGGAACGCACTCAAAACAAAAATATATTTATTAGGGTGGTCGTTAAAAATTAATTTTTTTGCGACGCCCCCTAAAAAGCTTTGTATTGATTAAAAAACACTGGGATTTTTTTTTTATTAAAAACAACACATGCCTCAAGACGATCTAAGTTATTTTTTTGGTATAATCATGTCTTTTCTGAAAATATGGAATAATAATTTTTTGAGATTTAAAAATTATTAACAATGAAATAACTACGTTTGTACTAATTTAGTTTTAAAATAAAAATAACAATTTGAATATTTTTTATTTAATAGACCAAATCAACTGGGAAAAATTTTGCTATTGTTATTTTGATTAACTACTTTTTAACGACCACCCTAATATTTATATAGCTGCCATTCTGATGTATCACATTATTTTAATATATTTTTAGATTTCCTGTTTGGATTCAATAATTTTTGGATTTTTATCTTTTTTCCTGTTTTTTTTTCAAACCACTTGTTTGGTCGGCTCGCCAAACCAGCAAAATTTAAAAGGTGTGTTTAATTTTTGACGCTTGTGCTTCATAGGGGAGCATTTCCGGACATATTATGTTTATTTTACCAATACCATTAGTTCAATAACACTCTTTATATTGACGGTGGCGAAACTGACCTATGAATTTCCCTATATTTGAATTTATGGACTGTCAAATTCAAAAATAGCGACATAACTCTAAAACGCCTGTACCAATCTTTATAAAATTTTGGATAAAAATACTTTAACTTATATCTCAGTTTACGTGTTCAAGGTTTTTCGAGGAAATATCCTTAAATTTAATAATAAAAAACTCTCAAAAAAAACTTTTTTTAAGTAAATAAAAACTATGCTGTGAAATACTGTATTTTTGTAAGAATACCCTGAAAATGTTGTACAAATCAAACGATCAGTAACGAAAATACAGTCGTCAAAAATGACCACTTTTTAGCAAAATAATGTAATTTTTACCGACTTTGAAGCACTGTATCTTCGTTACTGTTCGTTTGATTTGTACAAAATTTTCAGGGTATACTAAGAAAAATACGGCCTTTAACAGCATATTTTTTATTTACTTAAAAAAAAATTTCCCTAATAGTTATTTTTCAAACGTTTTTTTATTATTAAATAAAAGGGATTTAAAAATATTTTCCCGAAAAACCCTCGAACACGTAAACTGAGGTATAAGTATTTTTATACAAAATTTCATAAAGATTAGTAAAGGCGTTTTAGAGTTAGAATTTTTTACTTATTATGCGTTAATTTTGACGCGCAGTGTATTATTAAACAGTTTTATTATAGTAGGCCTCCTCCGTTGCCCCCCAAGAAGAAAAATCAACGGTTGATTCAACTGACAGACGATTGCTTTTTTGATTCGCCAATAACAAGCAGTTTAGAAAGGTACACAATCATCATATTTTGTGATTGTTAGTTCTGATAAAATAATTTTATTCACAGGGTGTCCATGCGTTCAAAATCGCCGGAATCGTCGATGTCTCTTTTATCAGAAAGCGCGGGAAGCATCGAATCCATGTTAAACCATTCGAGGGACGAGGATGAGTTAAAGGCTATAATGACAGATGGAGATTTGGATGTTTCTTATGATCATCACAATTCAGATATTATCGGTAAACAATATATCTTATTTACAACATTTTTAGTAAGGCTAGGCAACTTGATGCACAATTTAAATGTTGTGTGCAGAGTTGCAAATAATGCATTAAGGTTTCAATACACATTATTAAAATAATGAGTAATTTTCATTATGCATTACTTCTTTTTTAATGAAAATTGCATTACATTTTTTCCAATGGGTAGTTAATAATTACCAATTATTCTTACATTACTCATTTTTAATTTGAAATGAGTATTTTGTACTCACTTTACATTACCCATTTTTTAGTGGGCAAGGAAGATATTTTTATTACATGACACATTTTTCAATTTTTGTTTTGAATTGGTTTTTTACCAGTAACGGGCGTTCAAAATTAATTATTCGTTCATACCATTTTTTGAGTTTAGGTCGCCTTCTCATCCAATTATCATAATCCCACTATCGTTATCGTAAAAATTTGCAAGGAAATCTCAAAATTTGCATGCAAATATGCTTTGGATAATTTTGATAAACGAAAATTTTAAGAAATAAAAATTTCAATTCGGACAATTGTTTTGAAAATTTGAAATCTTTTGAAAGAGTAATCAAAAAAATATCAAACTTTATCAGAAAGGGATTTTTAATTGGTACTTAAAAATAAAAGGTGGTGTAAAATGCCCCATATAAAAAATGTGTAATGTACAGTCTCTCATTACTCATTTTTTATTTTTTTTTTGGTATTTTAAGGTGTCCCTAAACTGATTGGCATAAATTTAGGAAAAGATTGAACAAGTCAAAATAAGACGAAAACCCAAATAAATTACTTATGTTTCCAAGATACAGGGTGATAAAGTGTTAATTATCATATCAGTTTTTTTTAATATAACCTCTACTATGGTAGTCTTGGAATGGTGATATTTTGCGAACAGTCACTAACTACCAAAACACATATTCCCACATAATTTTAATTGTTTGAGTGAACACAGTGTCGTAGAAACTAATAATTGTTATATCGCATTATTTAAAAGGATTAAAAGGTATATGATAACAAATTTTATTTTTTAATTGAAAAAACTAAAAAGTGCATTCCATGAGCCTCGGAACTTTTTGCCCTGTCCGTCACATTAAAACAATTGTAGTTTTTTCAATTAAAAAATTTGTTATCATATACCTTTTAGTCCTTTAATGCGATATAAACAATTATTGTAATCTCGAATATCTCGGAAACGGTTTATTTTATCGAAGTTTGAGAGGTAAACCTTTTTAAGAGTAGCCGGACTGAGTAATCGAAAAATTGCATTAAATGATATAAAAACCTAACCTCAAAGTTTGTATGGGTCAAATAGTGTATGTTTCTAAGTATTTGTGAAAAAAATTGTATGCGAAAATATACAAAAATGTGGAAAATACAGCCCTTGCCCCGAAACGGCTTTTTTTCAAGCGAAGGGTTTTTTTTGCAAAAAAAGATCTGTACGCAAATGGCGGTGATTTTACCGGGTACACAAATTGAGTTTTCCGGCCGCAGAAAATTTCGTCCAAATGAAAATCCTTTTGTTCACGAAGGAGCTAATGTAATTGGGTACAACACTTCCAAATTTCAGATCGATCGGTAAATTGGTTTTTGAGAAATCGTGGTCACGGCAACAGCACTTTTCAAACAATACGATTCCGAGATAAACGCGTTTAAAGTTTTAAGTTCATTCAATTTGCCTTTAAATGTTCGTGAGGTAGCGCGCTATAAATTCCTATAACATAAGCAGTGTTCCCGTGTGTCATAAAAATTTTAAATATCATAAAATTGGTTAAATTGTCCTAAAATGTCATAAAATCTACATTTTGTCGTAAGTAATATCATAAGGGCATCTAATTTTTCCGAAAAAAATCGAAAAAACACGTTGCTAAGTAATATTTTAACAAGAAGCATGAGTGCTGGTGGCAAAAATATTTTTTGCACCTGCACGAATGCATTTTGTTAAAAAATCTTACTTAGCATTGTGTTTTTACGATTTTTTCCACAGGAAAAATTAGATGCCCGAATGGTATTTGACAAGACTATTTCATGAGTAACAGTTATTCTGCATACACATAGCTTACAAAAATGAAAAATAGGTAATTTATTTAATCACAAAATACTATAAACTTAATTATTTATGGTACAATTAAAATTGAAATTGAAATTTTTGGTGACAACAGCTGTCAAGTTTTGCCGCGGGTAAACTCGAAAAAACTGCTGACAGGTGCTGTCATACAGTTTTTCCACCTAGAAACCATTTGTAATTCAAAATTGCGCGTTTGTGATTGGTGTAAATTAAGACGAGGGAAATAGTCATACAAATCATAAAATTTCATTGTTTTTTATAAAATGGAAATTTTCTTAAATAAATTTTAAAGCCGGTCCTGTAGAATAAAACCCAATAATGTTTTAAAAACGGCCTTGGTTGTTGACGTATAAACTTCATACCTTACCTTACCTAACTTATGTTCAGTGATGCCAGATATACGGATTTTTCCGTATTCTACGGAATTTCGAGTGTATTGTTAAATTATCGCCAACTCTGTAGTTACAGCCTTTCGTTCTTTGGGGTGATTTTTCCCCAAATATTTTTAGGATAAAAATCTTTTTTTTCCGGTTTTACTTATCCACAAGACTGAACTAAATACAGTTATCTGTAAATTACAGACTGTAATAGACAGGTTGCTTTAATGCATATTATTAAAACTATAGGAATCTGCACTTTTGACAGCTGAAGTTTAGTTTCAAGTAAACAGAGAATAGTATATAATACGTGAAATCGTCAAACTCGCCTTCGGCTCGTGTGACAAACTCTTCACTCGAGCGGAATATGCAATTCCAAACGTGTACCATAAAAAATAATTTAATTAGCAGAAAGTAAAGTTTGATTTATCTAAAATTTGTTAGATATTAAACACAGAGATGTCGCCACCAGTGTTTATTCCGTCATCCGATAGAATAATTCATTCTGTAATACTCTAAGGAATATATGTCATTCCACATTAAAAAGTGATATTAGAACGGTTATATTCCATATAATAGGAGTAGAAAAAAATAATTAAAAGAATTGCCTTCTTGCTCAAGACTTAAAAATTAAATTATACTACGTTTTTTATTCTAAAAAATAAATCATCAACATGGAAATTAAATTTCCCCTAAATTAGTCTAATTATTGATAAAATACGAAATACGGAATTATACGGATTTTTTTTCTTAATCCCCACCATACTACTAGGTCAAATACGGATATTCAGCGCTAAAGATCTGGCATCACTGCTTATGTTCTGTGCTTCATACTATGAAGGAATTTTTAAGAAGACTTATTAAGTTAGGTTAGGAAATGAATTTTAAATTTCAAAATTCAAAAAATAATGAGAAAGGAAGTTTTTTATACTATATTACTTTATAAAAGGAAGGCAGAAAGCGCAAATGCAAAGAAGAACTTGAAGAAATTGAGAGTAGTTTGGCAAGTAAGGAAGCAGAGTTAAAAATAGCAAGAAATTTTATTTCTGAAGGAAATAAGAAATTATTGAATTACCTTAACAATAAGACTACTCTTAAAAAATCTGAAATATTGGAGGATCAAACAATGATTAACATGGGTCTCAAAAAAGCAAAAAAAAAGTATGTGGTTTTATTTATTTTGAGATTATAATACCTATTATAGTAAGATATTAAAGTAACATACAGGGTGTTTTAAAAAACATGCGCCAACGCTCGGCTGGAGATTCATCATCCAAAAATAAGAAAAAAAAGTCATATAAACGTGGGTCCGAAAATGCTTAGTTTTTAAGATAGAGGGTGTTAAATATTTTTTTTTAAAACGGCTTTTTAAAATATCTTAAATATCTTTTGACCGATTCTGTTGAAATTTGGCAACGTTATTTATAGGAAGTAGCTAATTTTTCTTTGACTACGTTAAAATTTTCCAGTTTAGTTGGAATCATTTTTTAAAAGATCAAACATGGCAAAAAGTATAAAATATGAGTTTTGTCAATTTTCATGTAATAATGTGGTTTTTATTTTTTCTTTCGAAAACGAGGTAAGATACTTAAGAGACAAAAAAGTTGTATTTTTAGTGGCTTAATCTAAAAAAATTATAAGGTGCCCCCCGGGACGCCACTGGACTTGAAAATTTTATCGTAGTTAAAGCAAAATTAGCTACTTCCTATAAATAACGTTGCCAAATTTCAACAGAATCGGTCAAAAGATATTTAAGATATTTTAAAAAGCCGTTTTTAAAAAAAATATTTAACACCCTCTATCTTAAAAACTAAGCTATTTCGGACCCACGTTTATATGACTTTTTCTCCTTATTTTTGGATAATGAATCTCCAGCCCAGCGTTAGCGCATGTTTTTTGAAACACCCTGTATATTAAAAATATAATAAAAGAAATATTTATTTTGATGCGAGAAAAAATATTTATTTTTATATAATAAACCGTTAAAAAGTGCAGTGCTCTGATCTTGATAAAATTTTGAGTACATACTCTTAAAAATGTGTTGTAAAAATATTTAATAAAAAAAATCGATTTTTTGACCCAGCTCAAATGTATGTAACCCCTTAATGAGTAATGTATTGTTTGACATTAGTCATTAATTTTTTAATGTGTAATGAAAATATTTCTTATTACAATTTTTTGATGATAATGTATTCAAACTGCATTACCATTAAAAAAAAATGACGATTGCATTATTTTCGAAATTAACATTTTTGCAACTCTGGTTGTTTGTTTTCTAACATTCAGGCGCGAACGGCTCGCACAACTCCTGGGAAGAATCCTCGCTCAGTTCGAGCGTATCGAACAACAACAGCGAGCACAACATCACCTCGGTGAACGACTACCATCGGCTGTCGAACACCGATTCCGGCATCGTGTCGATTCGGTCGAGCAGCTACTCGAAGCGCAGCTCGCAGCAGAGCGCGGTGAGCGCGCAGTTCTGCTCTGCGCATGCCATGCACACCGCGACCGAAACGTCGTCGTCGATGGTGAAATCGGAGAGCGTGTTGCAGAGTTTGTGCCTGGAAAATCAGCTGTCAGTCGGCAATTTTAGCAGGTAGTTTATTTAACACTGCCCGTCAAAATTAACGCATAATAAGTAAAAAAATTCTAACGCATTTACCAATCTTTATGAAATTTTGTATAAAAATACTTTAACTTATATCTCAGTTTACGAGTTCCAGGGTTTTTCGAGAAAATATTTTTAATAATAAAAAAACGTTCGAAAAATTACTTTTAGGGAATTTTTTTAAGTAAATAAAAAGTATTCTGTTAAAGACCGTATTTTTGTTAGTAAACCCTGAAAATTTTGTACAAATCAAACGAACAGTAACGAAGATAAAGCGCTTCAAAGTCGGTAAAAATTACCCCTTTTTGATTATTTTGCTGAAAAGTGGTCATTTTTTACTTTGAAGCGCTGTATTTTCGTTACTGTTCGTTTGATTTGTACAAAATTTTCATGGTAGACTTACTAAAATACGTTATTTCACATCATATTTTTTATTTACTTAAAAAAAATTCCCTAAAAATGTTTTTTCCAACGTTTTTTATTATTAAATAAATGGGCTTTAAGGAGATTTTTTTGAAAAATCCTTAATTACGTAAACTAAGATATAAGTATTTTTATCCAAAATTTTATAAAGATTGGTAAAGGCGTTTTAGAGTTAAATTTTTTTTACTTATTAGGCATTAATTTTAACGCGCAGTCATAGACTATTATTTTTAAAATTTTTAGATTTGAGCCTTGGGTCTTTTTATCTCAAATCGACCAGGCAAAAAGGGGTAGAGGAAATTTTTTTTACAGTTTCTCTACCGAAATCGATGAGACCTATATTTTTCTTTTGGCTTAAATTTGTTTTTTTACCCGGAAATTTTTTTTTGAAAATGCGATAACTTGGCCAAAAATGTTTTGATCGTTTTTTTTCTAATTGTAGGTAAATGTTTACGGTAAACAAAAATATATAAAAAATTAAGAGAATTCACAAAAAAAATTTTAATTGAGGTCAAAATTTTGACATTGCCACATTTTTTTTACTTCATATTTTTTCGTTTGATAATTTGAACAACTTTCACCAAAAGTTGGCTGAATTGTTTCGGAATTATTAGTTTTTTAATGAAAATGCCATTTTCCAGTAAAACCGTGGTTCATCGCAAAAATTTGGGATTTTATTTAGGGTCATGAAACTGGGGTGACTTAAAGTGTAATTTAGAAGTTTTTGACATATTTAACATTTTTTAGTCAATTCTGGTTTCACCGGAAATGGTCTTAACTTTTTATTTTTTTAATGAAACACCCTATGCATTTTTACATATTTTGACTAAATTTTATTTCTATATCTAGAGTGCTTTGAATTGGCTTTTCTGATTCATGTTGGGCCAAGTAGTCTGGAAAAAATACAATTTTTTTGCAATGCTGGTTTTTAGGAGAGCTCTTTCAAAAATTGAAAAACCATACTTTATGCCAAAATTATTTTTTTTAATAAAAGAGGGTGGTTTGTTGGTCATAAAAGAAATCCACTTTTTTTAAATTTAATACCTAATATTAATGCATTTATTAAAAATATCGCTTTAGGTTTTAAAGTGTGTACAGAAGTTAATAAATTAAGGAGGCTTTGAAACCTTTGTGTTTAAAAGAAGTATCAGATTTGACAGACTACATTGCATTCGATTTATTACTTTTAGGTATGTACTACTTACTTTTTATTATTTTAACCAAAATTAAGTAACATATACTTTTTACATCTTTTAAAAGTAACACATGCAAAAATTTTAAGAATTTACATTTTACTCTAAAATCTTTAATAATTTAATTTACTTACTTGGGACCATTTCCGGTGAAACCAGAAGTGACAAAAATACTTCAAAAAGTTCTAAATTACACTTCATATAGTTCACCCCAGTTTCATGACTCTAGATAAAAAACCAAATTTTTGCGATGGACCACGAATTTACTAGAAAATGGCATTTTCTTTTAAATAAATTATAATTTCGAAATGACGAATTTAGCCAACTTGGGACTTTTGGTAAAAGTTGATTATATTATCAACTTCAAACAAAAAAAATATGAAGAAATAAATGTGGCAATGTCACCTCAATATTTGTTTGCCTTTTTTGCCTTAATTTTTTATATATTTTTTGTATATAGTAAACATTTACCTACAATTTAAAAAGAGAAAAATCGATGTTCCTATCCATTTTACTGGTGAACAAAACAAATTTAGGCAAAAAGAAAAAAAATACGAGTCTCATCGATTTCGGTAAAGAAACTATAAAAAAATTTCGTTGAAAAATAACGACCTACTCCTTTTTGTCTGGTCGATTTGAGATGGAAAAACCCCCTTAATTTTTTTTACTAGACTTATATTGAAAAGAAAATAATTTTGTTTCTTAAAATAAAAATTCAAATTTGTCAAAACAAATTGTGAACTTTTTAAATTAAAATTTTATATTTAAAAACGTTTTTTTTTTTTAATTGTTTTTATCATTATACATGGTGTCCCTGGAATAATGCGAGGTAACTAAATTTCTTCTATAAAAAATTGATTATAACCAAGTTCGTTTTCGATTTTATTAAATAATTAAAAAAACGTTTTTGCACAAATTTTTGGGTTTTTTTCGGTCCGGAAAAATTAAATTTTCCGCTGACTTCGGAACTTTGCATGCGTTTAAAGTTCACTATTTTGTGCCTTAGTGTATTTACATTTACATTTTTAATAATTTAATTTTTTATTCAGTAATTATTTTTAAGTGTTAACACTATTTTTAATTTGTTAAATATCACACAATTTTTATTTTGAAAATTAATATCAGCAGATATTTTAAAATTAGATTTAATTTTTATGCCAAAGTGATATTTAAAATATCTGTTTCTTATATTTGATTTTTTTTGTTAAACAAACTTTTTTAATTCACTTAATTAAAATTTATATTTAATTTTTATGCAAAACTACTATTTTTTATTTAGTTAATTTAAAATATTTTCTTCTTATATTTGTATTTTTTCAATCTGAATTAAAAATATCACATTCAATTAAAAATATCTGCTTATTTTAGAAAATTAAAATGTATTAAAAATATCTCCTAGGATATTTTTAATTTAGCGAATTAAAAATATGTGTTTAACTAAAAAATACAAAATTAGAAACAGATACTTAAGTATTTTAATTTCACTAAATTTTAATTAATTTTAAATATCTACTATGATATTTTAAATTCGCAGAATAAAAATTCTTTTTGAAAATATCACATAAGAATGGACAATTTCAAAAATTCACAAGTTTATGATGATCCAGAAAAGCATTTATTTTGAAATGCTATTTTTTAATTTTGTTTTTAGTGTGAAAACGAGTAAAAGCAGTTCGGCGACTGTTTCCACTGAGTCAGTTTTTAATAGAGACGAGATTGATTGTGGTGGCGTGGAAAGGGACACGCCGCCTGCTATTCCTATGAAGACCAGAAAAAAGAACGAAAGACAACCTTCTCCTTATGATAATGTACCTGATGATAGTTTAGGTAATAATTTACACATTTTATACTTAAAAGCAATTAAAAGTTAAATGGCCCGAAAAGCGGATACTAAGAAATCTACCGACATAAACTTTTTAGCTATAACCTAAGAAACGGATACGGAGCTCTGAGTTGTAGTGGTGCACGAAACTCTCTTAACTTTAAGCTTTATTTTTAAAATAATTTTAATCGAACGGGCATATTTTTTTTGTCAGAATAAATAAAAACGTATAAATCGATTTCTCTAATTCCACATCACAATTTTTTTCTTTGTCCCAATGCATTATAAAATTAGAAGGACAAATTATAAAAATAATGTTTTTAGGGAATTGAGAAGTAAAAACATCAATGTGGTACTTGTACTCAAATTTTGTACTTTTTACTCACTGATTATTGGGAACAAGTATTACTCAGTTCAAAATTACATTTGACATCTTTTAAATTTTAAAAAAAAATTTGTCCTTTACTCAAGTACTTTTTTTTAAAGTACTTTTACTTCAGTTATTTTATTTTTTGACAAAAATTGTTTTTCTGTATTTTATTGAATATATGTTTTGTAGGTATTTTTTGCTTTGTTTCATCGAATTTTTAAATAATTTTACATTCTCATGTTTTGTTGTAAATATAATACTTTTTTGGTTTACATGATAAATTTTTCTTTTTTTGAATTTTTGAACCAAAATTTCAAATTTTTTATGATTTGCTAGATTTTCTTTTTTTAGTAAATACTTAGTTTATTATAACTTTTGAATATTGACAATATTTTTCATGATTTATGAATTTTATTCATTAGCCTTTCTTCATATTTTCAAAATATTTTTATTTTATACATAATTTTGATAATATTAACTTTCTTATTAATAAATTTTTACAATATTGAGGCTTTTTAGTCACGGTCTAATGAATTGGAAAAAAAATAAGGTTAAACCGATTGACAGATATCATATTGGGAAAAATTTACTGAAAAACATTGCTTTGTGTTCGTCGTAGATTAGGTATAGTACGCAACTCGTTTTATAAACTTCTCTAGACACTCGTTTTTATTAAATACTCGCTTGCAAGCTCATGCCTAAATAAAACTCGTGCCCAAAACCCCGCTTTTTAGTTATGGCGGGAAATTCAAATATCGAGCACTTTTTAAAATGTTGGAGCATTTTTAAAAGTGCTCATCAAAGATAATACATAATAATAATAATAATAATAGATAATGTATTATCTTTGGTGGTCATCCTCTCTAGGTGAAATTGAGGTTAAAACTTTCTGACAGATGTCAGATTGGAAAAAAATATAACTGTCTGGTAGATTTCAGATGCCAATAGTTTATTAATTTCTTTATATTATGTATTTAAAAAACTTGTAGCCAACAAAACAGTTTTCCCAATTGGTACTGCTGTTCTGTAAAATTTGTTTTCCAACTAATTCAATTGCAAATAAAATTGGCTTTAAATTCTCATAAACATTACTTTGTGTATGTCGTAAATAAATTATAGATACTCGTTGTTTGTTTTAGTCACGATCTGAACTTAGCAGCAAAGTGTTTCAGGTTTTTTAGTCGCAGGCTGAAATTTGCTTTAAATTAGTTGTCAATTGTTATACAATCTGTTTTTTCGTTAAAATATAGTGCCCTTCTTGTAAAAAATGTATTTTTATGTTTGTCATAGACGCAATTTGAAACATTCTCCGCGACAACTATATTTTTAATGGATAAGTGAAGTAAATGTGGTATAGTAAATTGCGTCATCAAATTCTGAACCAAGCACAGACATTACAATTATTGTTGTTTTCTTTGACGTATATAATCCTAGAAACCCCTAGGTTAACCGTATGTCGAGAAATCGGTTTTTGACATTCGACATTGATGACGCAATTTGAAACATTCGCCGCGACGACTTTAGTTATATATTTATTTGATAAGGATATTCCACGATAATCAGAAATTGTTATCCCTACCGTCACAATACAATTTCAGACGGTTATCGGTTATCGTGGAGTATCCGACCCAATAAATATAAACATACCACATTAATCCATCCTTACTTATCCATTAAATTAATTAATTAATTATCGTGAAATGTAATACTAAAACATTTATAATTTTACAAGAAAAAAAAAATGTGTTTTAATAAAGACCTGTATAAATAAAACATAAAAAATTTAATTTAAAAACTGTTTATTAGGTAATAAATAGATTCCATCATATTTAACTAAATAAAAAAATCCTTAAACTTAATAGAAAATATTTAAAATATATTTTTACAAAGAAGTTTCTACATGGTACAATACAAGTTTTTTTGTACCATTTTCTTTGCCATTATAAATTTCTTTTATTCGCAATTTCCCTAATCAATCATCTTATCAATTAAACCTTTCTAATAAATTTTGTTCTAAAATTTGTAAAATAAAAAATGCACTCATTTAAATTTAACAACCATTAGGTATTATTATTACTTCTTTATGTGGTATAAGTGATAGGCACGTACTCGGTATATACCCGATTTAATAAAATTTGGATAAATACCCATAGTATGTACTATGTACTATGTACCATAAACACACTATTAAAACTATAGGAATTAAATTGGCGTCATTTTTAAAATATGGCGTAAACCAAAGGATAATTAAAGGTTCGTGTAAGTTTTATATGTATACAGAAAACATTTGGCACTTCAATGTTTCCCAAGTCCCATTAATTTCATACTAAAAATTGCCATAAGCATATGGTTTTTTTATGTTAAAATATACAAATATTAGCCTGAAAAGGGCCATTGCAAGACCTTATCACCACAACCTTTTATCAAAATGAATATTTTTATTAAAACATTTCTGTAAAGGCCCAGTACAAGGAAAGCTGTGGCTAAAAATTAATTATTAAGCCATGTAATGGGCCATTACATAATCAGACTTATGTGTTAGCTGGGATGTGTTTCAAATGGTATATAAAAATCGCTCCGCAAGCTTCTCTCGTGCCCAATTAAGACTCGTGACTAAAATGCGTTTATAAAACTTGTTGCATAATATTCAATTTTTTTTAGGTGGTGAACTTCTAGTAACCTGTCACATGCACCAATCCCATCAAAGCCTATCAAGTAGCCAAAGCATATCGAGTACGACTTTAAGTCAACATCACGACGGCTCGCGACCGCCGCCTCTACCGCCAAAAAAGAAACACAGTAAGTAATTTTTTTAATTAAAAAAAAAATGTTGCAATACAAAATATTTAATTGACTTTATTTATAGTGTTCCAATCGGTGGCTTACTCTGGTAAGTGAGCCGCTATGCCGCCACACAAAACATTCTAACAAAAAAACGCAAAACGCTTAGATTTTTTCTATATTCACACAATTTTTTATTTTTAAGTTTATTTTGATTGTTGATGAATTATAACACAGTACCTCAAAATTTGATTTTTTTTCCTTCCCTGAAATTTTTTTATAGATTTTGAAAATAGACTTAAAAAAATTATACCCGTGTCTCGGCGTTTTTTCAGATCACGTCATTTTTTTTAAGTGCGATCTAATAAAATGTTATCCACCGTATTCGGCACAGTTTTAAAAAATATATATTTACTGAATAAATGGAGAACCTTTAAAGCTACATTTTAAAATTATTTTAATTATATACGGGGTGTTGCACATTTATGAAATACGTGGTCCATTGAAAGTTTTTGGGGGATGGTTAAAAATATCGATTTGAAATTTTTAAATCGTCTATAATCCAATTAAGCCTATTTTTCTAAAATATTTTGAACAAAATGTCACTTCCGGTTTGACCGGAAGTAACATCAACTTTGTTATTTCAAATAAAACACCCCATATAGTTTTCGAGTTTTTTTGTTAAAATTTGACAAATTCGCTCCAATCAAAAATAGTCTATAACTTTTTTGCCATTAGGTTTGCGGAAAATGGGGGTGGAATTTTTGGAATCTTAAAACATTGTTTAAAAGATTCCATGTCAATTCTTTAACATTTTTCAAAAAATTACTTTAGAAAACCCAGGGGAAATTAGGCTAACTTGAAACGTTAATAACTTCTTATTTTAAATGTAACACCCTGTATGTTTTTACATAATCAAATAGAAAATTAAAAAACATTCCGATTGATGTAATTATTCCCTATATCCTATATAATTTTTTTAATTTCAGAGTTATCTAACTCGAAAACTATTCACTTTAGGTATAGGACATGGTATAGTAATTTTACTCTAAATTTTATGTAGAGTTTAAAAATGTAACAAAGTTAATGTCACCGGCCACACTGCCCTACTATGGAGAAAGGCAGTAACTGCTAAATAAGAAATTTGTGGACAATTAGCATAAACTACATTTTTATAAAAGGCAGTAGGTATTTAATTGATTTTTTTAACTTATGAGATATTTGACTGCATTTTGTGTTGAATTCGGTTACAAAATGTACACACAGTGGGCCTGAACCAAAAAAAGGTTGCATGAAAATGACACCAAAATTGGGCTTCGGATCTTTAAAGATTTACATTAAGGGAGTTGAGATCAAGTGAAAACAAAATCGCATCAGATCCTCAATAAATATAACGGCCAATTGTTTGTGGCGTTCATATTGGTCTAGAAAAACTCAAACAACGTAAATAATAAAAACAAAAAAACAGCAAATTACAGTTGCAAATAAAATTTAATAGGTTTTAATTATTAAATGAGAAAAATAAATTAATTTTAAATATGTCGAGATGAAAATTCGACCACCGCTTTTTTAAGCCGGTCTAGATAGTTAGGATCTTATATTGAATTCATTTTATATCGTTCCCAATACTTCAAAAACTCACACCGATTCTCCTGCCTGTTCCGAACAAAGACCCAAACCGAAACCATCAGGTAATATTTCAAAAAATGCAGCGAATGCTGTATATGTTCCAGATACACATGAATTTTCAAGCTCTCGGATATGCCCACAGCCTCAAACGCTTTCCGAAAAGCCTTAATCCGCTCATCAATTTCAAGAGAGACAATGTTCGTAGAAAATGAGCTTTCGACGACTTTATTCATTGCTTTGAACGCCGACCAAGACACCGACACGTATTTCATAATTCCAAATACACCTACTTACACTAAATTTCTGGATCCAAGAGCATATCTGCTTCTTTTAGTAGCTTACGGCATGCATTCCCTTCAAAAGTTTCGCCTTGATAGTTCTTTGCAACCAATTTTAGTTTCTTTGGCCACTAAGAGCCCGATCGCGACCTAATAATGGTACCAATCCATTCCAAAATAAATGGTTAACGTAAGATGTGTAGCTCTGGAATAACACATTTTTCTATGACGTAGACTTCATCATCCTCTTGAAACAAAGGGGGATTTATTGGGCTATGGCAATCTCTGGCAAAATTTTTATTTTTTCCTAATGATGAGCTATTTCATATTCCATAGGTTTTCAAAATTTCGCTGATATTTCTTGAACACAAGAATCATTACTTTCTCTAAAGCTTTCAGAAGAAAAACATGTTTCTGTATATTTTTGGCTCCCACCTTCGTGGTAAAAATATTTTTTGAGCCGTGAAGTCCATTTTCTTTATCAATTACTTGATTCGAGTTTCGAGTGTGTCCTCGGCCCTTAATCAAATTTTCGTGTCCCTTGAACCTCGCATTTGAGCAAATGTAACAATTACACTCTTCATTGCTTCTAGTGGTTTTTGGTAAACGTAAGACTTCAAAATTTGGTATGATCGGTAAAGGTCTTTTCATAACATTTTTCTCTCGATATGTGAGGGCAAGGCGACAAGTGGTGGAAATAGCAAGAGGAAAGCAGGTATCCATTATTATTTAAGAATTTTTGCAGTAACGTTTGCGTTCTTTCATTAATTAGAAATTTTGAAGAATTAGTTTTTCCAAAAATAATCTTTCTTCCGCAGGCAGCACATACTTTTTTTCTGTTTTCTTCATGGCTACATTTTATTTTAGAGTAAGTTTTCATTTTTTTTTTTAAATAAAACGGGTTAAAAATCACAACAATCCAGACACAAAACTAATTAATAAGAATTAACTTTGACATTTATTTGACATTTATTTTCATGGCCTCCATATGAGTATAATCTAAAAGAATTTTATAAACATGGGGAACAGTAAAAAATCAATACAATTAAAAATTATGATTTTTACCGAACTCAAACAAGAATTGGCTATTTTATCCATTGAGGATCAGGTGCGATTTTGTTTTCATTTGATCTTAACTCCTTTAATATTAGTCTTTAAAGATCCGAAGCCCGATTTCGGTGTCATTTTCATGCAACCTTTTTTTGGTTCAGGCCCACTGTGTACATAGCTTTACCATAGCACAAGAAAACTCATTTTGCATTTTTTTGCAGTTACTGCCTTTCTCCATAGTAGGGCAGCACACTGGAAGTGGCATTTTGTTTAAAATATTAAAAAATAGACTTAAATGGATTATTATTTAAAATTTTAACTCTTTTTCCGTTCCACAGAAACTTCCAATGGACCACAAATGTGAAACACCCTGTATATCAATTGGTGTTTTTTGGGTTGTGATACCACTATAGATTCTAAAGCAATGTATAATCGTTAAACTAAAAGACCAAGATTTTTTTCCAATGTTGGAAAAAAATCTATATATTGAATATAAGATGAATAAAAATCTGTTGTTTTTGTTAATTAAAAAAAATAAAGTATAATTTTTGTATTATGTAAAAACATAGCTGTATAAAAAATTTAAATGACGTGATTTTATGAAAAGATGAGACGGGTACGTTTTTTTAACATTTATTTTTAAAATCTGTTAAAAATTTTCATGGGAGGAAAATTGTGTTGAACTGTGTAATACATCATGCGTATGATTCGTTAATCTAGTGCATGTACAACTTACAATTAAATGTTTTTGATTTAATAATAATTTAATGACTACTTGAAAACATAAATTTGACTTTTATTAAATCCGAAAACCGAAATTTTCAATAACTTTCGATTAAAAAAATAAAATTTCGACCGGTTAGAATTGGGTCAATGCCTGGCCTATAAATAACATTGCATATTTTTTGCTTTAAATTTTTTTATGAAATTTGCCTACTTAACTTTTTTGGGCTTTCAGCATGCGTTTAATTACAAAAAGACAACATTTTAGTTAAACTTGTAAAACCTTTTGTTTGTTTACTAGCGTTATAAATTACAATAGTTTACTTTTTATTAAATTGTTTACTTGAGTTTCATAAAGCAGTAAATTTTCATAAATATTTTGAGTCATTTATATATTTTTAGAATCATAGTTTTATTTGTTATTGTGTCTTCAACAACACAAGTTCAGATTACAATTTTAGTGTTTTTATAAAAATTATTTTGAATAGACGGTACAATAAAATGGTAAAACTTTAGTTTGCATGTATCTGACAAATAAGTTAAAAAAAGTGTTACCTACTGCGCATAATGACATATTTAACAGTTTTTACTTCTTTTATACATTTTGACACGCTAAACATAATTTGATAATTTACTAAAACTGTTAAAGGCAAAATTAGCGCTGCAGCCAAAGTGTACATAAACACGCTTGTAGCCTACTTTAAAACGCCACTTTCGTAATAAAACCTTACCTTAACCGTAAATGTCGTTTTGTAGTCATGGCCTACATGGAAATGTTCGGCAACTGTTCGCACACCAACGACCAAGAGTTCATGCGCCACTCGATCCACCAATCGCAGTACGTGCAGCCGCCGATGATCATGGCCAACTTGCCGACGACGCAATCGTGCCTATTTAGCCACACGTCGCATATTTCCACCACGCGGTCGTCGCACACCCAGATCCAAACACTCAACATACCCACACATTCCTCCGGAACGGACCAAAGGTACTTTGATAACGGGATATTTGATTTTTGTATATCTTTTTTTAATTTAATTTAAGCGGTAACCTTTTTATGAATAAAATAATAATAATATAAAAAAAATATCAGCAACAAATATTTAAAATTGGTCAAGAAAGTTTTCAAGAATCCTTTTTTCTCTTGTTTGAAATTTTATTTATTGAGCCATTCCATGCCAAATCAACACACTTTAAAAAGAAATTTTTCCTCACCATTTCAGATTTTCCTAAAATTTGGTATACTTATACTATGTACTAAGACTAAAAAAATACCAATTTTTAAATTTTTATCTCAAACCGTTTCCGATATATGGCTATGTAAAGTTTTTAAAAACTCGCGAAAAAAGTGTGAACGTTTATTTTTTAAATTGCGCTGGAAGCTGTCCTAGTTTAGTTAGAAAGCTGGGAGAGGTGTCATTTTGCAGCATTTTAAATGCTCTTTCAAATGACATACGACTGCCAATTGGCAAAGGGTATTAATGAAAAGATTTTGTTCAAAATCCATATATATTTTGATTTAATTTTTTTTTTAAAAGTACATAATTTAAAATTCTCAAAATATTTGTATAAATACTTGGTAGTGTTCTGAATCATATAATAAAATATTAATGTGGGATCTTAATGGGTTCATTGTTAAAAAAAATATTTCTGATGCTGGTTTTTCACTTTTAACTAATTTTGACATTATTCAACGTTTATCAGGCTTAAGCCTGACAATTGTATTTTTTTTTATAATATCGGCTGTCATCATTCCCGACTTGTGTAATTTAATTATTTAATTACTGTGATACGCTTGTTTTGGCGATTCATATTGAACTAAATTTTAAACAAAACAACATTAAATGAATATTTTCAAAAATATAAGGGTTCCAAGAACCCTAATAATATCGGCTGCCTACATTCCCGACTTTTTTAATTAAATTACTGTGATACGCTTTTTTTGGCGATTCATATTGAACTAAATTTTAAACAGAACATAAAATGAATATTTTCAGAATTGAAAGGGTTCTAGGAACCTGCTCGAGCAAACAATTTCCGCGAAAACCTTATTGATAAATTTTAAACTCGCTTAAAAAAAATTCAGGGAACTTTTATCGGACCCTGTATATATTCGTAGTTTATTTAAAAATAAAACTATAAATGAGGTGTGTTTAAAGTGATTTTGGTGTCAACATGGAGCCTACTATTGTAATAGTGCAGTGTTATAATCCAATGAAAAAAACAAATCATTTTATTAGAGACAGAAAAAAACTGAGAAAAGTCCCAGCATGGATGACTGGATTATTTCCACAAATGCCTATTGGCTCCATGATTTGTCATACCTGCAGGAAAGATGTAACGAAACTGTCAAAATTAGTTAAGTGAAAAACCAGCATCACAAATATTTTTTTTTAACATGAACCCATTAAGACCCCACATTTATATTTTACTATATGGTTTAAAACAGTACTAAGTATTTATACAAATATTTTGAGAATTTTAAATTATGTACTTTTTGAAAAAAAATTGAATCAAAATATATATATGGATTTTGAACAAAATCTTTTCATTAATACCCTTGGCGTTCGTATGTCATTTGAAAGAGCATTTAAAATGCTGCAAAATGACACCTCTCCCAGCGTTCTAGCTAAATTAGGACAGCTTCCAGAGCAATTTAAAAAATACACGTTCACACTTTTTTCGCGAGTTTTTAAAAACTTTACATAGCCATATATCGGAAACGGTGTGAGATAAAAATTTAAAAATTGGTATTTTTTTTAGTCTTAGTACATAGTATAAGTATATCAAATTTTAAGAAAATCTGAGGTGGTGTGGTAAAATGGGTGTGTTGAGTTTACATGGACTGACCCTATTGTTTTGATCATAAATTTAAATAAACCATTTTCTATGGAGTAGAAAATACCTGTATGGAAAAAAAATAAAAGGATTTTGAAGATGGTATAAAAAATTCTTTAAAAAATATTTTGTGAAGAATCAAAATGCCTTTTTTCTACTTTTGAGTTAAAATTTAAATTCAGCGCCTCAAAAATATGGAAAGACAGGTACTGTGATCTCAACAATACAATCCAGGATTGGCCAAAGGTAAATTGGTATTTTGTGTAGGTCTTTGATTAAATTTATCATTTTAAAAAGAGAAAAAATAATGTTTTTAATCCTTGAGCATTCGCCATTTTTTGAAATACTTATGTCGATATTTTTTTAACAAAAATCTGTTGTTTATGCAGATTTTGGGTATACCGATATCTTAGTTAGTAGACATGGGACCCACACCAAACTTATATGAGTTTAAAATGGCATTAAATAGACAAGTTCTGCGCAAGCAGAATTTAAATTAAAGTTTGCGAAAAAAAGTTTTTCAGCGCGCCTCACCAGCCCCCTGCCACCCCTAATTAAGATTATTCAATTCATAATTCACTAAAGTTTATCGACAAATTCAAAATTTATTTAAAAAATCCAAGATGTACAGAGTTTATACAATTTTTAATCGTTTTAAATTTGAGAATAATAAAAATTTCAAATGGTATGAAATCTGTATTTCTTAGATTTTTTAAATTAATTGTGAAATTTGTCGATAAAATTTAGTAAATTCTAGTAAATCCTAATTAGGGGCTGGTGAGGCACGCTGAAAAACTAACCTTTTATTGCAAACTTTAAGTTAAATTCTGCTTGTGCCTATTTAATGTCATTATAAACTCATATAAATTTGGTGTGGGTCCCATGTCTACTAATGGTATGAAATCTATAATTTTTTAAATAAATTTTGAAATTTGCCGATAAAATTTATTGAATTGCATAACTTTAATTTGAATAATCCTAATTAGGGGCTGGTGGTATTTATTTATATGTTTGTTAAATTAATTATTTTTTTTTTATTTTTTAAGTACAGTGTAGAGTTGTTTTTATTTAATTACATAAATTCATTTGAAAACTTTATTTCTCCTAAAATTCTCCAAACAAACCTCCTAAATTCCTAAATAAAATTTGTAATTTAGCCGTGGGAGTACTTTTTACAATTGAGGGGCCTAGAAGTAAAAGGGTTTAAGTGCATTTTTGTTAGTTCTGAGATAAATGGCTTTAAAGTTAACTTGAATTTTAAAATTCTAGAAAAGAGTTTAAAAAACTGTGTGAATATTTTAGTTTTGTTTAAAGACAAAAAAGGATTATAAAGAAAAAGGAATTTTTTAATTTCGCTTTTTTGTTAATTTTTTTACAAAAATGTACTTGAATCGTCATGCATGTAAGACAAAATTTAGTGGTAAAATGATTTAAGTGCAATTACTGTACTAGAACAAAACTTTATTTTTTTTAAATTTGGGTAAGTTTTATAACAAAAAGTATTATTCATAATCAGAATCGAATACAACGTTTTCTTCATCTGAATTAGCTGGTCTTGGTTGGGGTTGATCTGAATTGGATTTTTTTGGCTCAATGCTATGGTCTGTTTTAAAATACTTGTCAAGGCTTTAGCAGCATAGATAATAGCCTATGTTTAGCAGTAAAAGGTGCACTTAAATCGTTTTACCAAAGATATATTTTAAAATATTTTGACAGGTTTTTAAAGACGATAAGAAATGGCGCCAGATAATGTAAAATGTACTTATGTAATTTTATAGAGATTGGAAAATTCCCATTTGACGAAAATTCCCGGAAACTTTTCATCGAAATTTCCCGAAATTTTCCGAAAGTTTAAAAAAAAATTTTTGTATAGCGAAAATATTTTTTTTATGCCAGGGATTTGCAAAAATATATAACACATTAACTTTTTGTCAAATTTTATTAAGAAAAAAAAAAATGTTTATAAGAATGTAACTGCAATACTATTTTTAGTATCTTTTACTTTGGAATATTCCTATTGTATACTGAAACCTACAAAATTAAAATAAAATGTTAGAAATTCACTGCTAGTAAATCCTAGATATTACGTAAAAAAATTAAAAGGGACAAAGTAACTAATATATAGGAATATTGAAAAGTAAAAGATACTAAAAATAGTATTGCAGTTTTGACTGATAAAATATAAAAGAAAAAACTACAGGCAAAATAAAATTAACATTTCTGACTATTGCACATAAAAAAATAGCAAAAGTAAAACACAAATAGGATTTTCATTGAGGTTATGTAACATAACTCACATTATTCTTCTGCTTTAAATTATAGGTGGCAAGTTTGATTCCGATTCGTTCAAAAAGAACGAATCATTTAAATGAACCGAATGAATCGAACAAAGTTTGTAAAAGAATCAATTCTTTTTTGAATCATTTTTTTTAAATCACGACGAGTGAACTAAAAAGTGAATCAAACCATAAAATAAATATAAACTTGGTTACAAGCACTGAATTAAATTCTAGGTTCGGATCACTAGGTTAAAATGTCGGTCTTTTTGAATAACTGGTGATACTCTCTTGATTTAAAAGTTTCCAATACAACCTAGGTACTTGTATTTTGTTTTTTTATGTAAGCTGTGCTGTTATTGCACCGGAAAAGCCATAGGTTAATTTACACGTAAGAAAAATAAAAATCGAATCCAATAATTTAATAATACAACCGTTGATTCATTTAACGATACAACCAGTACAAGTCATCATTACAAACGATTCAAGAACCAAGTCATTAATTCGGTCGAACCTGAATTGTTCGTTAATTATCTGTTCCTGAACCAGAAAGTGAATCAGTCGCGAACGAATCTTTAGGAACGAATCATTTTAAAAGAATGAATTAAAAGAATTGATTCACCAAAAAGAATCGAACTTCCCACCTCTATTAAATTAACACACATTAAATTCTTATTCAAAGTTTCTTGGCCTTGTATCATGGCCTTAACGAAAATCAGCGGTTAAACAATTGACATTTAAATGAAAAAAACAAGGAAAGTTTCCAAGGAATGTTTCCAATGAATGTTTCCGGTAGCTTAAAAGAAACTTTCAAAATGAAAATAAATTCCCAATTGGAAACTTTCCAAAACGGAAAGTTTCCTTAAAATGGAAACTTTCCGATTCCCATCTCTATAATTTTACCACTAAGTTAGAATATTCTTTAGGTGTGATATTCTGCACTTGGACCTTTTATTTAAAAAAGTGCACTTGAACCGTTTTACTTCCAAGCCCCTCAATTAAATATTTCGGCAATATTTATTTAAAAAATTTAAAAACCTTATAAAGGGTGGGCCATGTTTATGTTGAATTATAAAATAGCAATGAGAACAAGAAAAACTGATTTTTTTTCAACGAATTTTGCTTTATTTGATACAATGTTTCTTCCGATTAAGTATGGAAAATGATTTTATTTAAGTGGCCACCTCAGCTGGCTCGGCAGTAGCCCATCCTGGAACACCAATTTTCGAGCAATTTGTCAAAAGTTTGCTGCTCTATTTAGACAATTTGAGCTTGAATGTTTTGTTTTAAATGGTGAATAGGCTTTGTTACGGCGACGTGTGGATTTTCCGTGGCCCAAATTCTACAGTTTTGCTTGTTGACATAACCTCCGAGGTAAAAATGCGCCTTATCCGAAAAGACGATTTTTCTTGCAAAATTAGGGTCATCGTTCAACTGGTTTAAAGCCCACTCAGCAAAGCGAAAACGTTGTGGATGGTCAACTTGCTTTAACTCCTGAACAAGCTGGACTTTGTACGCAAACATACCGAGGTCTTTGTGCAGAATCATCCTCAGAGTGGTACGGGAAAGGCCGAGTTGTTGACATCTGCGCCGAGTTGATGTTGACGCGTTCATGCGTACATTTTCGGCCACAGCAGCGACTGCATCAGGTGTACGTCTAGGACGAGCATGCGAAACATGTTTTATGTCCACCAGCATTCCACTTCTGCGCAATTTTTTGATGAAATTTGTAATACTTTGGTTTGACGGCGCCTCAATTCTTCCAAACGCAATTTTCTTGCCGTCTCTGCGATCACAGTCACATTCAAAGTAAGTTTTGAGTATTTCGAAACGTTGAACCAAATTTATTCGATGCATATTTTGTAATCGGAAGGTTAAAACTAAACCACTGTCAGCAATTCATGGCGCTTAAGTTGAAAGCTTTATTAATAGCACGTAGATGGCCCACCCTTTATAAAAGCCGGTCGACATTAATAACAAATCATGCGTACATTTCAGATTACCCTCTCCCCTTCCATCGCCCAACTCGATAATGTCGTCGTCGACGACGTCGCGAAACTCCGCGCCGCCCGCCCTCCCCCCGAAGCAGCGCTCGCGCAAATCGTCGTCGAAATCGCCGCCGCCCACGCCGCCCCACTGCGCGCCCGAGCCGGCCGCGAAACAAGCGCCGGTCGTCGCGCAATCGCCGGCCGCCAAGACGCTGCCCGACCTGTTGGAGCACACGAAGCCGTGCGTCGAAGAGAAGCCCGAGCGCGAGGAGGAGGAGGAGGAGGACCCGTGCGACGTCGACCTGATGGAGGAGCTCGACGTGGAGAGGCACTTGGTGAAGAAGAAGGAGGGCGAAGACGGGCCCGAGATCAGGGGCGGGCCGATAGACGCGCTCATCATACAGGCCACGAAGGCTACAAAGAATGGCGGTAAGTTTATTCAAAAAAAATAACGTCGTTGTTTTATGCGATCAAAGGGTGTGCTCTGGAGATTAAACAAGATGTTTACACATCCTTTCTGAGAGTAGGTACAACTGTTTTTTTTCAATTTTGCAGTTTTGGCAATTTTGAGCAAGTATTTCACTTAAATTCTAAATAGCATTTGAAGAGCACACCCAAGGAAGTAGCCATCTTGATCATTCTCATATTTTATTCTTCTTTTTTTTTCAACATATATTACTTGCTTTTGGTTTAATCATATCATGGTCATTTAACCTTAAGGTTTTCTAGTTTCTTTCATATAATAACGCTTTTTTAAATATACTAATTGCAGAAGAGAAGGAGGATGGTATGTAAGAAATATAGGATCACAAAACATGACACATGACACTAACAATACATAGGTACTCTTCGTTAGTTATTAAAAATGTTAAGCTTACAAAACCCATATACCTAATTTCTATGGGTAGGTCAATAAGTCTTTACAAAATCATAGAGATAACGCTATTTTGTCAGATTTTACGGGTTGACCCGTTTTTCGGGCTGTTTCATTAAACAATAAGTATAAATTTAAAAAAAACAAGATTTCGTCCTAAACCCGTATTTTTGACACTGGTAACCCTTAAATCAAGAATTGGTAGGTGGCAACCCTAGCTAGTAGTAGAGAGACAAGTTTGTTCCTGATTATAAAACCCTAAGTGTCGAAAAAAAAACTGGAAAAATTGAAGCAAAAATTTGTTTTTTCGTTTTGGAAAAATTTGCTTTTTGGGAAAAATAGATTTTTTAAAATATACCCATTTTAATAAAAGTAGCAATCAACAACAACATTATTTTAATTTATTTAATTGATTTAAGAAAATAATGTCGGTAGGGTCCTTTTTGCAAGAGTCTATGAAAAATATATTATTATTAATTATAATTCTTAATTAATAATTATTACAATCATATTATTATATAATTACAATCAAAATCAGGATTCACTTTTTTTCAATATCAGTGTACGAATAGTATTTGTAAAAGTTTGTAAATTTTCAGAAAAATTGACTTTTTTATTTTTTAAATATATACAAATGTATACAGTGACCCATTTGTTTGCGACTCATCCCTGTAAAATCTTTATTTATTGTGCGATTTTAACCGGATTTGTTTTAAAGTGTAGATCTTGATTAACTGTATTTTTGAAGCAAAAAACGCCATATTTTTACAAATTACAAGGCCTACTATGTCAGTTTTTAAGAGTAAATTTTTAAGAATTCACATTAGCGTTTTTTTTTAATAAAATCTAAGCACGGCACTGGATTCACCACCCCTCAAAACGACCCTATACTAAATTTTATTAAAAAATTTTAAGAATAAAAATGCTCAATAATAACTACAAAAATTTATTTTGTCAAGTTATCCATGAAAAAAACATAGAAATAAAATTAAACTTTGCATTTTTTTAATTACAATTTTTCAATAAAATTTAGTAAAGGGTCGTTTTAAGGGGTGGTGAATCCAGTGCCGTGCTTGGATTTTGTTTAAAAAAATCGCTAATATGAATTCTTAAAAATTTACTTTTAAAAACTGACATAGTAGTCCTTGTATTTTGTACTAATATGGCGTCTTTTGCTCCTAAAATACTACACTTTAAAACAAATCCGGTTAAAATCGCACAATAAATAAAGATTTTACAGGGGTGAATCGCAAACAAATGGGTCACACTGTATATTTTTTAATAAAATGAAAAAAATACAAAAGTCAGTTTTTCTGAAAATTTCCCAATTTTTCGTTTTTTTTTCAGGAAAAAAATGTTTTTTTTCAATCGGCTCAATATTTCCGCCAATTTAAAAACCTTATTTCTGATAAGTGCAATCTGATATTTATCTCAAGCTTTCCTTTTTAAAAACGACTGATATTTTCGGACGATAAAAAAAATTAGTTTGTGCAGTGATTAAACAATATAATTTGAAACCCAAAAAGTTAAGAAACGTTGAGCGTAGTGTTCTATCAGGTTAACGCTGATTTCGTCTTTTCTGAAAATAATACAATATTATTTAAGAGCTACAAAATAAGTTAAATTAGAGAAAATTTGCGTTTTTACAAAGAAATTTATAGATTAAAAAAACGCCAGCGGTTCTCAATATATTTGAAAAAAGCTAAAAACCTTTTAAAAATGTAGATAAATGTGTATGTTTACATGTAAAATTGACTTTTTTCCAAGGAAAAACAATTTTTGGTTTTGACACATTTTTAGTTATTTTTTTTTCTCAAATTATTTGAGAACCGCTGATTTTTAAATGCCATTTTAATAGATTGGTAATCACGCCACTGTGGTCTTATTGATTATATATTTTTTCGTATAAAGCTTTTAATTTAGCACACAAGAAATAAAATAAACGAAATATATTGTAATATTTTCAAAAAATAAAACAAAATTAGCGTTAAACTGACAGATAAAAAACTTGAATTATATGTATTCAAATGTCAAGGTGGGACTTTTTGATGTGGAGCATGGTACCATTGAAAATTAACCCACCCCACATAATGTTTTTCCATTGTTTTGTAAGGACTTATTAACTCACCCTGGTATGTCCAGTTGTGACAATAGTCCCTGTATATTTAGACTCTAGCAACACAAAAAAACGTACTAGGCACTCTAGTTACAACAGTAGATAATATCTAATAATATAATGTCCCTAAAAATAAAATAAGCAGAAAACATATTTTAGTTCCACCCTTACTTTCTAAGAATTAAGTTTATTAATATAATATTATTACGATATAAAGTCATTAAGTTTCTTTCTTTAAATATTAAAGTACTTACTGACTGTATATCATATATTATTTTTGCGCAATCAAATTTAAATTTAAAAAGTTGCAGCATTTAATTGTTGGCTAAAATAAACTATATTTATGTCAAAAATATGATTGCGCAATAATTGACTTTTACACCTTTGCACAAACTTGACTCTTTAGATCTCTTTATTCTTTCTTACTTCTTAACCCTTTAACTCTTCTTTTACCCTCTTTTAATTAATTTTTCTGTAGGTATTGTATTTTTGTGTAGATACTTTGTGGAATTAGTAATTTGTATTTCTGTTTCAGTATTTACGTATCAGGAAGCCTTTTTAACCACCTATCGTACTTTCATATCACCTTTAGGGCTAATCAGCAAACTTATCTGGCGATACAATTATTTTTATTCGCAACCTGACAAAAAGCCTAGATCCAGAGAGGCGTTTGCTCTGATTGTGCGGGTTGTTAGTGATATCACGTGAGTACAAGTTTTACGTATGTTTAGGTACTATCGCGCTTAAATTTAGAGAATTGTTTTTAAAAAAATATTAGTAATAATTACGAGTAATTATTAGAAAACGATCTTTAAATCAATTAAAATATTGAATGAAGAGTTTTAACTTTTTAAATTTAAACAATGTCAAGAAAAAATTATTAAAAAAAAATTTGCGATTTTTCTTTTATATTTCGCTGACCAAAATTTAAAAAAAAAAAATTTTTTTGAATGGTGATAATAGGCCATAAATAACCTACGATAAACTGATTAAAATAAAAATTAAGAAAGTTTTTACATTTATTGTGCAAACTAGCATATTTGTTGCAATTAATTGTTAATTATATTAAGTTGTAAATGACAAAGCAATAAATATTATTATTATTATAACTCAAAAACAAAAAAAATACACAGGATGTTCCAAAAGTAGTTTTCAAGTTAATTTGCATTTGGGTTACAAAAAAGATGACAACACTGTTTTTGATGAGCTGAAATATTGAATAATGGTTAAAGTTTTGAAACAGTCATAAAATAGTATTTTAAAAATACATCTGGCAACCATGTCAAGGTCGTCTCCCCTAACTAGGGATGGGCGGCTATTGAAAAATAACGGGTTATCGATTATTTTCTTAAAATAAAGGGATATAATAATTTTGTAATTTACAATAAATGAAAGAAAATGAATTAAATTAAAAACAGTATTTAGTAGCTCCATGACTAAAAATTTATAAACAGATCAACATAGTAACAAAACAATATTATATTATATAAAATAACCGGTTATTCACAGCCCAGTTAACAGTTTATTCTTATAACACAAGAGATGTAGAATATTTTATTATGAATTTTTTTTTGCATGGTTATATGCGAGATATGGTGCCAATGTGAAACTCTGTAGACATAAAAAATCATAAATATACATATAAATACATAAATCAATATCATTTGCCTTAATTGTATTTAAAACCTTTCTTACCTTAACCATACCAAAGTGGTCGAACTTTTGACCACAACCCTTTCGATTTGGCTAAAACTTTTTATATTTTTCTACCCTGACATTACCCCAAACATTTTTGGGAATATTTTCAAATTTTTTTACCCAACCCCAAAAAAGTTATGAATTTTTCAAAAAAATGGCTCTTTATTTTTGAAATATAATTTAATAATAATTATTAAAAATATTATAGATATTTAAAAAATAAAGAGCATTTTTTTTGGGTTGGGTAAAAAAATTTGAAAATATTTACTTATTGACTTAAAAAAGGAGTTTTTTTGAAAATTTGATCTTTTGAACCCGTGATCATAAAAATCTCAAAATTTACTGAAAAAGCTCTTTCAAGGAGTACTAAAAAATATAAAAAAATTGGAGAAATCAAAAAAAATTTTTTGAAACCATCCGATTTCGCTTGGAATGCCCCATATACATATGTACTTTTCAGAAAAATTTAGACAAAAAATATTCAGACCGATTTTAACGTTGAAAATTTCGATTATTGTCATTATTTAATTTTTTTTATAATAAACTTTGACTTTTTCTGCAAATTACCACTTAAAATTTTTTTTTCAAAGTTTGAGGTCTTCTACACCCACAAAAATCCACAGAGTGGTATTATGAGAAATAAGCTGTTTTTTTCAATTGAAAAAAAAAATAGAAAACGAAAAAAAGCCAATCTGAAAATTTCAGAGATCTTACAGAACAGGTCAGAATTTCTTAAAAAAAAAATAAAAGTGGCAATCGTGAAATTTTTGTTTTTTTCCGAAAATTAAAAAAAAGCGTTGAATATCAGTCTGAAATTCCTTTTTGAAAAAAACGTCCCGATAAAATATTCGATGCGATTAAATTTTTAAACATGAAAAAGAAGAAACGTTTAATTTATTTTCAAAAGTCAAAATTTTGCTAGTAGCGATAACTGTATTATTAGTTAGTAATTATTATCAGGTTATAAGTTTATATTTAATTTATTGTTTTCAAATCTTTCAGAAGATCAAGCAATTAAAATTCTGATTCTTAACAGTTTAGTAAAACTTAATATATTTCTATGATGTTTATTAGACTGGGCCAAAAAAAATCGACTATTTTTTTTGTAAAGTATATCGAAAATATTGTTTGGGGTGACAAAAAAAATATAGTAAAAGTTTGAGTCCATAATATTAATATTAAGAGGTATATCATCGCAATTTTAGATTTTTTTTCCTTAGCAAGTTTTTGTCTTAGAACTCCCAAACCATTGAGTTTAACAAAATTGACTTAAGAATATTTTTTGAAGAAAATTAAATGTTCTACAAAAAAGGTTTGATTGGAATTTCCCGTCAGATGAACCGTTTTCTTACAATCATGCCTTCAAAATTGGTATAGTTTTACAATTTGATCTTTTAACTTTTTAATTTTGTAATTCATGTAAAAATCGATACCCGAAAACACCTCTTAACATTTTTGGCTAAATTCACTCCATCAAAAGTTATTCAAGGTTAAATTTGAAGTCAAAACGAAATTCTTGTTTTTTCCGCTCTAGATTTTTTTTTGGGTCACTTAAAAACTTAAATTCTTTTATCGATGATAATCTTTATGTTATTGATAAAATAACTGAAAATTAAAACAAAATATGACACTGTTCTTACGCTTTAAGAAGCTATTTTCTTTAGAAAATATTATTTTCACTGTTACCTATTTAATCGTTTAAATAATACTGCCGTGCTTAATGAAAACGCCGTAACCAACAATTTTGCGATTTTTGGTTTACGGCATTTTCTACTAGAACAATTCATCCTGCGTCTATCCCCGGTACTCAAAAAACCGTATCTATATCTATACGGTTTTTTGAGTACCGGTTCCAGCGCTTCAGAAGACACGTCGCGTGCGGGTAAGCTCTTGAAACGTAAGAGTTTAAAGATAAAACCAACAATAATTATAAAAAGTGCAAACTAATAAGTGAAACAAACATTTTCATAGAGTGCAAAAATGGTGTAACGGTCATTGAGGAGTGAACTGTTGAGTGATATGAATGAAGTGCCACCTGCCATTGGAGGCTTTTCACTGGACAGACAGGGGCGGTCAAACAAGAGGGGAGGTGGCCATCCGCAAAAAAAAAGCTGATAAGTTACTTTAAGAATTGCATGACCTGATACAAATCTGCAATTTAAATACGGCAGATCCCAGCAAACATTTTCCGTTATTTGTCACCATTAACATTGCCCGTTATTCATTTTTTTAAGGGGTTATATACAGTTAGAAGGCCGAAAAAAAGTGAATTTTCCAGAAGTTTTTCTGAGAAAACTTTTAAATATATTGATCCAAAAATTTATACACATATTATGGTATCTTTTAACTATATTTTAAGACTTAGTACTAGTAAAAATATTTATTTGGAAAAGAGCTACAGCTGATCTCCGGGAGCTCCTCTCAAAAAAGACGTTTTGCGGTGACCACTATATCTCTGAACTGGATCATCAGAATTTAAAAAACCAAACAGATTTCGTTAAAGTAATGTTAAATCTAGTAATTAATCGAAGGAATAAGCAAAATAAAATTTTTTGACAAAATGGCGGTTTCTCAAAAAAAAAAATCGATTTTTCACCGAAATTTCGGCCTTAAATTGTTTATAAAAACCAAAATATTTATCGGAGAGAAAAAATCTTCGATTAATTACTAAAAAATATATTTAAGAAGCTCGTGTTAAAATTTGAGACTAATCGGTTTAGCCGTTTTCGAGTAATGTTGGTCACCGACTTTGAAAACACCATTCAGAGAAAAACGCGTTTAAAGTTTGGAATGCAGTTTACATGGGATAAAAATTTTTTATTTTTTAACTTACATGGAGTCGTCTATTCCAGGCCCATATAATACACCCTGTTCACACTGTTGATTTACACATCTAAATACATTAGAAGGGAGCATTTACAAGGCAGGTGCATAAAAGGCTAGTCGCTGCCGCTCCGGCCTTGTACTTCCAAGCACTCTGAAACGCCTTTTCAAATTTGCGTGTAACTTTGAAAATATTCACCGGAACGATATGAAATTTTCTGTGTGTATTCTTAAATATATGTACATTAAGAAAATAAAATAAAAAAAAATTCGATGTTTTGAAAATTCTAACTGTATGTAACCCCTTAAACATAACATTTATTTACTTGAAAATGTTAAAATAACTTTAAAATATGATTATGTTAGGAACATATTTTACTCTTTAAACAATTGTTTTGTTTTTAATTACTATCATTGCAAAATTGTATTAAAAAGTATCAAAAATTCTTACACGGGCAATGTTGGTGGTTATAGGTACCGTTAAAGTGTTTATTGGGATATCTTTGAAACCTACGAAAGGCACACGGAATGGGGCAATGAATCTGTCAACAACAAATGCGTAAGGCAATCCCAATCGAGACCGAAAATAAACACTAGACTCAGAATAAACTAGCACATTAATCATAATTCTAACATTAAGAAAAAAGCCTAATAGCCAAACTCGAGATTTGTAAACATTAGACAACAGAATAATCGCGCTTGTGATTTGTTTGACTAATAAATAAATGCAATGCTTAATTTTGGAAATTAATAAAAAAAAAGACAAAACTCTATCACAAAACGTGCTTGGGACAAAATTTATTAAAAATCAACTGACACACTTTACCAAGTGCAGGAAATATCTGACCAGGACACGGACAATGACAATAACGAACAAGACAAAGACCTTGACTAGGAAACTACACCCCTGCAGCGAAATAACAATTCCCCAACTCCAAATAGTAGTCCCAAATGTTTGGAGTAATACTAATCGACTGGTCTAGGGGGATTCCGCGTCGTACTTAGTTTTAAGTCGGCGTAATTGTCCCCCAAAAACCAACACCTTCCCGTCCCTCCTCCATACCCCACTGAGCGTATAGCATAGGCCCGGCGAACCCGGGAACGGCTATTATAACTATTCGCCTCTCGCTCTCGAGCCCCAAATAGGGGACAGTACGGAACGCAATGGACATTCGCACCCAGCAAACACGGGTGAAGCCGTGCAGTTGCTGGGGAAGAACAAAAATCGGCGTAAGTAAACATAGGCCTGTACGGGGTTCGAGAGTCAAGAGGAAATGGGGCTGGTTATACGTCTCTTATACTCATACTCATAGACGCAGGATGAATTGTTCTAGTAGAAAATGCCGTAAACCAAAAATCGCAAAATTGTTGGTTACGGCGTTTTCATTAAGCACGGCAGAATAACAATCATGTTGTTTTTTTATTGGAAATTGTTAATTAGTTATATAATACACATTTATAAAGAAAAAAAATCAAATTATCACCCATAAAAAAATAAATCTACAGAGGAAAAAACAAGAATTTCGTTTTGACTTTAACTTTAACCTTGAATAACTATTGATTGAGTGAATTTAGCCAAAAATGTTAGGAGGCTTTTTTGTAAAGCATTTGATTTCCCATAAAAATATTCATCGTTTTTTTTTCTGGGTACTGATTTTTACATGAATTACAAAATTCCAAAGTTAAAAGATCAAAATGTAAAACTAATACCAATTTTTAAGGCATGATTTTAAGGAAACTGTTCATCTGACGGAAAATTTCATTTTTTGTAGAGCATTTAATCTTCTTATTTCTGAGTCAATTTTATTAAACTCAATAGTTTGGGAGTTCTGAGACAAAAACTCGTGGGAAAAAAATTAATATTGCGATGAAAGACCTCTTAATATTAATATTATGGACTCAAACTTTCACAATAATTTTTTTTGTCACCCCAACCATATTCTCGATATACTTAAAAAAAAAAAATAGTTGATTTTTTGGCCCAGTCCAATGTTCATATGACAGAAATACCTACATCCTTGTAATTTTGGTGTTAGGGCTTCCGATCTGGACGAACAGCTGCAACAGAAGCTAATGAATTTCGTGCAGCAGTTGATATCGTGCGGCGAACTGACGCTCGCCAAAGCTCTCCGCGTGAAGCATTTGGAGCGTTACGAGGCCAAGCAGATCAGCATGCGATACCAAAGCATCGTCGGCACGAGCATATCGCTGAGCGCCGGCAACTTCACGCTGCTCGACTTCAAGTCGGAGCACATCGCCGAACAGATGACGATGCTGGATTCGGAGCTGTTCGTCAAAATCGAGATACCCGAGGTGCTCACGTGGGCGCAGGAGCAGAACGAGGAGAGGAGCCCGAACTTGACGAGGTTCACCGAGCATTTCAACAAGATGTCCTATTGGTGAGTTTTATTCCACGTAACAATTTGATATTCAACGATGAATTGCTTTTATCATAATCATCAAATGGCCGGTGGACACGGTGGACAGTGGTCTCAGAGGCAAATTTACGCGGCAAAATCCAATTTTTAAAACACTTTATTAACGCATTTTGATGCCTCTTAATGTTCGTGACAGATTATTACCTAAGATTTTAAACTGCAAAGTAGAATTTACTGCGTATGCGTTGCGTTATAACTAATACATGAAAAGATTGTCAAAAATACTCTTACTTTCGGAATCTTGTCTTTTTCGTGTAAAAAAGGTGTTGCGTAAATATAGTAATGAAAATTAGTGTCAAAAATTTATAGTAGGGCTAAAGTTGAGTACAAATACAACTTTAAAATGTATTGTTTGGATTTTTTGCCAAAAATATAGCGTTTTTTAACCTACAAATTCTCAAGTTTTGTAATTACAAATAATAAATGGAATATACGTAAAAATTTATAATTACTTGCCCAGAACCACATAGTGCATTTGAAAATATGAACCTCCAGCTCCGACTATAAAAATTCATCTGCCTTTATGCGCCTATAAGAGAGTTATGCAAAAATTCATTTTATATCATTTGGCTAGACTTAGCCCCCTCAATACCAAACATTTAAAAAAAAATTATATAAGAAGTAAATTTAGCACCCTTAAAAACATAAAAAACACACGTCTTGGGAAAAATATTTAAAGAATAATTTTTGCCGCGTAAATTTACCTCAGACCACTGTGCGGTGGACAAAAATCGAAAAAGGGAGTGTCAATTTGTAATGTTTTAATATTGCAAAAGTATAGATAAAAGTCCAGTTTATCCATAATCATAAACTATTTTTTAGTCGTACTTTCAAAAATGGACAAAATAATTAGTTTAAGTCGTAACATTAGGATAAAATCGTATAAAATACCTATTAGATAATTAATTTTACTGGTTCTGCATTTTATTATAAAACATTTTTTCTTTAAGTATTACAGTGGTGTAGACTTGCACTATTTGTTTGAATAAAATTTTGTAAAATTCAAATCCAGCTTTATTTAATTTAATTAAAACTGATATGCTTAAAAAAATAAATTATTATAACTTTCACTAAGGTTTAAAAAATGCATAACTTTGCACAGACTGCTGTAATTTTTTGTTATTTTGTGTTATCTAATAATTTATATAAAATAAAAATATTTGTTCAAAAATATTTATGGTATCCACTAGGGGTGTCAATCCCGAGCCCATTTTCCAATCCCGGGCCTTTCGGGACCAAAGGTAACTAATCCCGGGATCCCGGGATAAATCCCGAAAAAATATATATCATTAATTTTAAAACCAATTTAAAATAAAACAACAAAAAAACTAACGAACGATATCTTTCGGACTTCACACTAGTCGGAAGAATGGTTTTCAAGAATTCGTAGGCACATTGTACCCACGTTTACCCCCATTAACAAATAATTCCATTTCTTTTATCAATCGGGCCTTGGTGAGTTCCAATTGGGGCTGTAACTTACATTGAAATTATCAAGTTTGTGACATTTTTTTGACGTTTGAAATATGTTATATTATAGGTTAACCTAATTATGTACATAAATTTATTCTACAGTGACCTGTAATTTTACATTTTCTTTGCTGATTTTATGCTATAGATAGAACCACTGTTGCTATGTAATTTCAATGTATTTTCATTATTGTACGGCGGTGTATAATAATTTGACTTAAACTGAGTAAAAAAATTAAGTGTTTATAAATATATATGCTTATGAGTATTATAACATGAAAAATGTCATACGCTTAAAAAAAGTATATTTTATTCTTTGTAACTTATTACTAAGATCCCGGGATTGGGACTTTTAATCCCGGGATTTTCGGGATCGGATTTTTTACGGGATCCCGGGACCCCGGGATTTCGGGACCCCGGGATTGACACCCCTAGTATCCACACTCCTGTGAACAAAAAGCAAAACAACCTTTTTTTCGGTCAATAGGAATGCACAAACAAAATTAAATTGAGATATTCAATTACTGCAATAAAAATCCTATCATATAGTGACATAACCTGAACAAAAAAACCTAAGAATAAAATTTAGTTTAACTTTTAACACAAAAGTTAATTGATTTTTATTTTAAAGATAAGTGTTCTTTATTTTTTTAAATTTATTTTTTAAATATTTTTAATAAAATGACTGTAAGTACTTATTTTTTTAAATTTACACTTCAATTTACCATATACACTATGAAAGAAGCATATTTTTTTAAAGAACAATTTAAATATTGATTTTTGTCCAAAAACCCTATTTTTGTCCGCACCGTGCGCCGTTTCACTTTTATAAGAAATATTAAGTTAAATATTAATAGGTACTTTAAAAAATATATTTCACTGGAAAATAATACTTTCAAAATAATAATTAGAATTATACATGTCAAAGAAGATATTCTTTTTTTAAATATGTTTATATAAGATGTTGAATTATTTATTTAATGTAATTTTTCTGTGTGCAATATTTTTGTGTCACATTAATATTTGACTTAATATTCTTCTACAATTAAAAAGTAAAACGGCGTGCTTTAATTAGTTTTTTCTACTCCCACCTTTAAAACGCCCTTTATCATACATGTTTCCATGACACTAAGTGACCTTTTAAATACACATTGACCAGTTGTGGCTTTATGGCTCTTTAGTCACGGGTTGAAGTTGGCAACAGGTTTTTAGTCACGGGCTGAAGTTAGTTTTAAGTTAGTTGACCGTTGTCAAATGTCATACAATCCTTAAAATAAAGTGCCTTTCTAGTAAAATAATACTAAATGTGAAAATTATTTTATTATCTCAATACAAAAACACAAAAATATTAAATAATTTCTCAACGCCAATATTTGAAAAGTTTATATGAACATTGTACTGACCTTTTAATTTCGCCGGCAGTAAACTATAACTTAAATTCGGGCACGGACTCTACTGTAAAGTCCTCATAAAACATTTCCTTTACTTTCACTGTGAAATATTGTCAATTTTCAAAATACATTTAGATTTATAACCTTTATAATTGTGTTTATAAAATGTAAAAATGTGACATTTGACAGTTTCCCCTGTTGTTTCATAGATGTCGCTCTATACAAATTTTTGATTTAAATCATTTTAAGATAATAATAAGTATTTGTCGTAGAAAAAGTATAGTATGCACCTTGTTTATAAACTTTTCTATACACTCATTAATTTAAGAACTCGCTTGCAAGCTCTCTCGTGCCTAAATTAAATTCGTGATTAAAATGGCGTTTATCAAACTTAATACATAATATACTATTTTCTACTCCCACCTTTAAAACGCCCTTTATCGTACATGTTTCCATGACACTAAGTGACCTTTTAAATACATATTGACAAGTTGTGGCTTTATGGCTCTTTAGTCACGGGTTGAAGTTGGCAACAGGTTTTTAGTCACGGGCTGAAGTTAGTTTTAAGTTAGTTGACCGTTGTCAAATGTCATACAATCGTTAAAATAAAGTGCCTTTCTTATAAAATAATACTAAATGTAAAAATTATTATCTCAATACAAAAATACAAAAGTATTTAATATATATTTAATATAACCTTTATAATCTGTGTTTATAAAATATAAAAATGTGACATTTGACGGTGACACACAGATTCCCCTATTGTTTCATAGATGGCGCTCTAGACAAATTTTTGATTTAAATCATTTTAAGATAATAATAAGTATTTGTCGTAGAAAAAGTATAGTATGCACCTCGTTTATAAACTTTTCTATACACTCATTAATTTAAGCACTCTCTCGCAAGCTCGCTCGTGCCTAAATTAAATTCGTGTATAAAATGGCGTTTATCAAACTTGATACAAATATACTATTATTGTCAGTTAACTGTTAATAACACTAAATATTATAAAAATATTTTCTAATGAGTAGTTTTTTATCACGATATTTTAATTTTTGAAATATATATTTTCATCTTTTTTTATTAGACCAGTGCCTTTAAAAATGGTAAAAAGTGAAAAAAAATTACAGTAGGATGAAACCCATTGGAAAAGGAGGAGAATATAATAAAAAAGAAAGAAAAAATAAATTACGGGCGATCTGACTTCGGGAAGTGGGAGGGGGGGGGTTTAAGGGTAAAAAATGGTTTATCTCGATTTCCGGCAAAAATACAAGTCCTATGGAAAAAAGTTAAATGGCAAAGTTGTAGGTAATAAAAAGATCTACAACTTTTCTATTTACAATTTTTTCACATAACCTCAAAATTTATGTGAAAAATTCAAATAACCAAGTTTTTGGTTTTTTATTTTTATCTTTTTCAAAAAAAATTTTTTTTCCACGAAATTTGGTGAAAACTTGCCTTTTTATGTCCCAAATACCCTGTAATTTATTTGATTTGAAATATTTATTATTTCACCTTATTTTGACTTAATATCAAAAAAACACCCTAATCTTCAATCGAAAATTCTCGCGTCAAAATATCAGCTTTTTTCAAAAAGTCGGTGTGCTTTTTGTTTGTTGAAATCTGTACTTTCTGATGGTGTAAAAAAAATATACATTACTATGAAAAAAAATATTATAATGAAAAACGAAAAAAACTCGAATTCGAAAATTTATTTTAATCATTATGTACAATTTCATCAAAAAAATGTGATTGTTGCAATTTTTTTTAGTTAAAAAGTTTATTTATTAAATTCTAATAACATTTATGTCAGAAAATCTCATAAAATATAAAAATACATGTAAATCATACTATTGAATTTAGATACTTCATTCTGATTACGTTATTCATTATAATATTTTTTGTATTTTCTGAGAACATTTACCATAGTAATGTATATTTTTTTCACACCATCAGAAAGTAGAGAGTTCATCGAACAAAAAGCACACCGACTTTTTGAAAAAAGCTGATATTTTGACGCGAGAATTTTCGATTGAAAATTAGGGTGCTTTTTTGATATTAAGTCAAAATAAGGCGAAATAATAAATATTTCAAATCAAATAAATTACAGTGTATTTGGGACATAAAAAGGTAAGTTTTCACCAAATTTCGTGAAAAAAATTTTTTTTTTGAAAAAGATAAAAATAAAAAACCAAAAACTTGGTTATTTGAATTTTTCACATAAATTTTGAGGTTATGTGAAAAAATTGTAAATACAAAAGTTGTAGATCTTTTTATTACCTACAACTTTGCTATTTAACTTTTTTCCATAGGACTTGTAGTTTTGCCGGAAATCGAGATAAACCATTTTTTACCCTTAAAGCCCCCCCCTCCCACTTCCCGAAGTCAGATCCCCCGTAATTTATTTTTTCTTTCTTTTTTATTATATTCTCCTCCTTTTCCAATGGGTTTCATTCTACTGTAATTTTTTTTTGTTTCAAAAATTATCGACCCTGGTCTATATCTAAGTAAATTAAGCTTATAAAACATACAGAAATTTTGTTTTTAAATTAAAATCTCACAATTTAACAACATATTTCAGGGCTAGAACGAAGATCCTAACCGCCGAAGTGAAAGACGTGCGGGAAAAACTGTTCCTGAAATTCATAAAAATCATGAAGCACCTGAGAAAAATCAACAACTTCAACTCGTACTTGGCCATGCTGTCCGCGCTGGATTCGGCGCCGGTTCGCCGTTTGGAATGGCAAAAACACGTTCAAGAAGGCCTCAAAGAGTACTGCGCCTTAATCGACAGTTCATCGAGTTTCAGGGCCTATCGGACTGCTTTGGAGGCCACGGAACCACCCTGCATACCTTACATGTAAGAAAATGTTTACTTAACATTTTTTTTTTAATTTTATTATTTTTATACTTAAAATTCTAGACATACAGCGTACTGTACTGTATCAAATTTGCGACGATTATCATTTTGTAGAAGGATATTAGTTAGTATAGTTATTTTTATTATTTCAGTGGTTTGGTGCTGCAAGATTTAACATTTGTTCACATCGGAAACAACAATTTGTTACCAGATGGCACTATTAATTTTTCCAAAAGGTGGCAACAATATAACATTGTCGACAACATGAAGAAATTTAGAAAAGGGTAAGTACTTTTTAATTTAATATCTAAATGTTAATTTTTGAGAAAAAAATTCTAAAACGCACTTTATTCTCTGTTCATAGAAGAACTGTTCAACCTTGTGTGTATATGTACAGTAGGGTGACCCTTATTTTTATTTTTTTTACGCATACCCTCTAATTATATTTATTACGTGTTTATATACTCCCAGTAAAAATTTCAGCTCATTCTATAAACGGGAACCCGTGCCGACTTGCATCTGAACCCTCCGTTAGCCAACGTTAGGCGCGCTGTATTTTGTGACACGGTTGGTCGCGAGGTCTTCGATCGTAAGTCATTTTGTGTTTGTTATTATGTTACCCTTATATTATAAATTATTGACAAATGTTAAAATACAGTTTTATTTATGTGTATACTTTGATAAAAATGTATAATTTCACAGGGAGTAAACTATGAAATTGATAAACTTAATGGGTTTTACTCTAAATAACTAAAATAGTCTATTGTAAGAGATGACTACCGAAAACTTATTGAACTGTCTGAAATATTTTTGGGAGGACATCAAGAAAAGAAATGCTTATAAAAAGCTGAAATTTCATATAACAGTATATTTTAGCAATACTAATTAGTATATTAATATATTTAAGGGATAAAATCAACTAAATTAGTGAAACAAATGATAGAAACAAAAGCAATAATATTAATTAGTAATCATATTTAATAAAATCATTAGAAAAATATATATAAAGTATATCTTCTTTTTAAAGTGTTTCGTGTTACAAAATACCGCGCGCGCCTAACGTTGGCTAACGGAGGGTTTAGATGCAAGTCGGCACGGGTTCCCGTTTATAGAATGAGCTGAAATTTTTACTGGGAGTATATAAACAAGTAATAAGTATAATTAGAGGGTATGCGTAAAAAAAATAAAAATAAGGGACACCCTAATGTACAGTTACGGAAAATAGTAATGTCCATTTGAATGCTCCATTGTAATTGTTCGGGTTTATAAAATTAAAATATTTATTTTTAAACTCAATAATTCTACCTACCTGCCATTTATCATTCTTTCTACGCACATTTCATTTGACTTTTAAGCTTTAATTTAATAATCTAAACCATTAAAATATTTAAGGAATAAAATTGATTTTGAAATAATCAGTACTATCGATACCGGAGAAGAGAGTGGACGTGCAGTTCGAGCGCTCTTAGTGCCGATCCATAATAAAATTCTTAAAGAAACATAACTATTATATATATACAGTGTAGTCGAATAAAGTACGGTGCGAAACAGTGCCACTATTTTGGGTTACTACATACCTGTACAGGTGAAATCAGGGTACCTGTTCTCCAAAGGGTTAACAGAAACATTAAATAATTCCTCAAAAGGCAATCTCTCAACGGTGAACATAGGGGTGAGGTTCGTGCGGACACGAAGTAATAAAGTGACAGGGGACAGGTCAAGGAATCACCTATTTAAAGAAAAAAAACAAGTCTAACAAAGAGCGAAAGGGATCATCATCATCAGCAGATTCTGATAAGTATTATTGCATGACCAATACGCAAATTTGTAATAAAAACCGGTCAACAATTAATCATTACCGAAAACAGCGTACGCGTGTAAAAAAAATCACGTAAGAACGTCACAATATTATATTATTGTATTATATATATTATATAATATACGCATAAAATTACAGCTCAGCCACAAAGCAAAGATTAAAAGATAACGAAAGTAAATAAACAAAACGCCCACGTAAAAATAACGTAAATAAACCATCTATTAAAGCATACGTTACACGCCTGACATTAAGGCCATATTTCAAATTTTAATACGATACACCACAGGGCCAGCTTTATCTATTTTGTATATTATCTTATTTTTAAATTAAATTTGAAAAAAAAGTAAGAATGCAAAGATACAAAATAAATAATAAACGATAAACACTAATTTAACAACAAAATAAATAGTACACCAACAAGGACAGGTTCTAGCAGCGTACCAACACCCCGGCTCAAAAATACAAGAACAGCACTGCCGTGTTGGGCTTAGGGGGCGTATCTGCGGTATTTTGTTGTGGGGGACGGGAGAGGATTTTAATTTTAAAAAACGATAAGGAATGGCTTTTTTGCTTAACTACTAAATATTGCAGATATGAAGTTTTGTCTTCGAACGGCAGTTTGTGGTAGTGAAGAAAAAAACTTTATTCTTTGTTGTTTTTGGGAACTGAAGTTTTCTTCTGTCCTTTACTGCAGAGTGTTGCAGATGCGACCTTTATGCTTAACACGGCAGAGCACAGAAGATAAGAAGTAGGACCATGCAGACCATATGGTGGCATTCCACCACATACACTTCAGGGCCGGCTTTATATATTTTGTATATTAATATTTATATTTTTAAATTAAATTTGGAAACAAAAGTAAGAATGCAAAGATATAAATTAAATGAAAACGGTATAAACACTAATTTAGCAAGAAAATAAATAAAGAATATACAAGGTTGGTAGCCGGAGTAATATAAGAACTAACATACCCACCCCTATTCACGAATACGAATTGAATGGGGTTACTACTAAGGCCTAGGTTGAGGGGGATTCCGGATTGTACTTAGTTTTGGGTCAGTTCAATGTCCTCCAAAAACCCTTCCTAAACTGGACGTATGGCCCGACCCGGCTGACAAAAATCCGGGAGCGGCCTTAACCTTTGACACTGTCATCCACGACCTCCCAGGGTGGAACTACCAGCCGGCGTAAAAACTTCGGATCCAACAAACACAGGTAATGCTGTGATTTGGCGGGATACGCAGGAGAACGGAAAGGGGGTAAAATAACCCCGGGAGATTAGTGGTTGACAATATATATGGGGCCTGCCATACGTTCCCATACTCATAAAATTGATTTTGAAATAATTTAAATTTAATATATGTTCTATTATTTATTTAATAAACTACATGTTATTTAATTAGTTGTTAGTAATAAAATAATATATTTTAATGAACTATATAGACATTTAATACTAAAATAATTATAAACTTTTGCATAATTTAGCAAATAAAATTTTGATTTTTTGTTACCTGAGCAATTTGAATTAAAATATTTATTTTACTATGTAAATTAAAGCCATTAAAATTTTAAACTAAAATGCATTTTGTGCTTATAAAAAGAAATTCACTTTTAATACGTTTATCATTTTAGTTTTCATTATTTGTTTTATGAAATAACTGCCCAATACCAACTTATTTCAATGTTAACAATCCTATAAAATATGAAAACGGCATAAACTTAAAATTATTATACTCGTAATAACTGAAGCTTGGTCTTCCCAAAGGGTCTAAGTGCCAAAAATAAAATTGTGAGTAATCAATGAAAATAGTACATGTACAACATATACACACAAGGTTTAACAGAGAAAAAGAATATCTATCTATCTTGTTCATATAAAAGTTATACAGGGCGTCCGAAAATGGCGTTATTTTAAGTATAAAAAATATTTTTAAAAAAATCCTGACAAGTACCTAATAATTTACTTAAAGGGATTGAATTTATTTTTCTTAATGTTTTGACACTATTTATGTATATGGGGTGTTTGAAAAAAAATCAGAATGAGAGTCCTTGAATAAAAATTAGTAATAACTTCCTATTAACTAATTTCCCAAAACGCTTCGTTTCCGAGATTTTTTCTAATATCTGATAAACCCTTACATCGATTTTTTTAAATGTCTGTTTATAAAAATTATTAGTATTTGTATTAGTATTATACTGCTTTTAATTGGTGTTGTTATATACTTTTCAAATAAAACAAATAAATTAAAGACTTTATTGTTTGATGAATACAATTTTCACTAGTAAAAAATACATTAATATGTATGTTTATTTCTTTTTTTTTCATGCAAGGAATCTCATTGTTGCAATAATGAAACACCCTGTATGAAAAGATAGAGTGAATATTATAATTGAGGCATGGAAGTACCAAAGGGGGGGGGGGGTATTTGCCATTTTTGTTGTTGAGATTTTTCGTTAAAAAACATTGTTTGTACCCTTACTATGTTTCTAACGAAAAATGGCACACACCCCCTTTGGTACTCAATTATAATAATTATTAATGAGTCAAACCACGCAAAATGTGTCAATGAGTTTTTATTGATTTTTTGGAAAGTAACGATAACTCTTTAAATCATTTTTCGAAATTTTTATTATTTAATAATATTTGTAAAAAAAAGTTGTTTTTTATGACAATTATTTTATATATTTATGATCATAATTACATTTTTTTACATATTTTATTGTATAATACATTCTTATTTTATAAAGTTAAATTATATTTTCAGTTTCATTTTGCCTAAACCCAAAAGGAATGCAAATAATGATAAAAGAAAAAAAATATGAATTCGTTTTTGTGTGATGAACTAAGATTACGTTATTACTATACAATGCAATATTTTTTTCAATTAAATTTTAAATATTTGTAATACAATAATATTTATATATAAAAAAGGTAAACAAAACAAGCAAAACAATACGTTCGATGACATTGGCGCGGAGAAAGTGACACAGTTACGTATTAAATGAAATTAAAGGATCACAAAATATATATACTCACATACATCCATATACATATAAATATACACATATATGTACAGTGTTGGCCATAATTTTTGGAACCACTGTAAAAAAAATCTAACTCTAAAACGCCTTCTATATTTTTTCGTTTGCTGTGCTGTTGCCTTTAAAAAGTAATTTGTTTACCTGTGATAAAAAACACCATTCTATTGTATTGTTTGTATGTCCAGAAAATACACCTTCAAGAAGAACGAGAGGATCATAAAGTTTTTCCAAAATTTCGACGACTACATCGGCGAGGATGCGATGTGGCAGCTATCGGAAACCATCAAACCTCGTGGAAAGAAAACGACTCAATGAATATGAAAAATATTCATGCTTTAAAGCAATATTTAACTGAAACTTAGTAGAAATTACGTTGTTTAACCCTTTTTACTGAAATTGGATGGTTTATTATTACGTTTTTAACGTAACTTATTTTTTAGTATTTAAATGTTTTCCATCACAAGTAGATACTAATTGGAGGTTAATAGGTTATAGGTAATCTGCTATTTTGAGGTCGATTTTTTTTAATGTTATTGCCTTTGCCTAAGCAATATATTTTCTAGTCATTTTTTTTATAATTGTGAATTTATAGGCTACATTTTTTATTTTTACATATAGAGGATTATGTTTTATTTATTTACAAGAAAACTATTATTTAACGCCTATGAACAATGTTTTATTCATGCAAATATTAAAGAGTGATTTCCCTCTTATGAGTGTTTATTAACACATATCAATATAATACCAACGTTATTAAGAGTGAATCGTGCGTATTTTTTGCAATACAAGCATAACATACCCAAATATTTTTTGGCGTTTTATTGTCGAATGATTATTTATTTTATTAAATTTTAGGCCAAAAAACGGGGGGTGTTTCTTTCTATAGAAAATGATCTCTGATTGGTTTATTGCTTTCTATAGAGATCTATAAACACCGCCCAGGGATTCTAACAAGGATTTAGAAAACAAGACATTTTCAGAATTTATTTTGAGTTTAATCGTTTTGTATATTTTTTTAGTTTCTTACGTCTTGTTTTCAAAATAAAATTCGATCAAAATTATTTTCGTTAATTCTTATGCATTTGCCATAAACTTAGCACAATCTTTAAAGAAATTAATTAGAATATAAATATTATTCTGATGCCTATTTTTTATAAAAATTTAGTAAAATTTATGTAATTTATAGGGCCATTATATTATAAAATTACACTCGTTGACGACAACTTTTGCACCTGGAAAAAAATGGTGGCATCTTTTTTGCCAATGAGTGCATTTTTTAAACAATGAATTATTTGGCATCGAAACTAGATTTAAATTAAAAGATTTGAAATTCTTGTATGTTTTCCGACTACATACTCTTTAACAAAATTTATAGTAGTGTATTAATAAAATAAATGCTGCAGGATTGTAAAATCGTTACTGTTACTTATATTTTTTAGTTAATTTAATAATAATAATAATATTAATAATAAAAAAATTAATAACCGAATTCTGTCAACATTTAATGCAAATCTTTGTGTATAAGACTGAACTTTTCTTAGTATATTTTTAAATTTAAATGTTAAAAAAAAAATCAAACTATCAGTATACAAGACCATGGAAAACTTATATTTTTTAAAAACGATATTTTCAATTATTTTTCTCTATAACTTGAACGGACTGAATACGATAATGAATGAGTGCAATTTTCATTTTAAACGATACTAGACTATTTTATGGTGCTCTCGACCAAAAAAATCTTACATTGTTTTAATTTTGTATACAAGGTGTCCCTGAAATGCTACTTATTCCTAAGACCAAAATAATGCAATATAACTAAATTTACCTTCATACAAAAGTTGTTAATAACTAAGATACAGGTTGTTAAAGTTAAAATATCGTTTTTGATTTTATTAAATAACTTTGTTGCACAACGTTTGATATTTGGGGTTTTTTCAGGACCGAAAAACTATATTAAGATGTGACCATTTAAACGTATACAAAGTGTTGCAGACAGCCTAAATTAATTTTTTTTTTAAATTATTTTTTCCGGACTGAAAAACCCCCACAAATAAGATATTGCGCAAAACGTCTTTTTTTCCAAAGTTGTTTAGTAAAATCGACAAACTTTCATCTTTCAATTTTAACACCCTGTATCTTGGCTATTATTAACTTTTGTATATGAGGAAATTGAATTATATCGCATTATTTCGGTCTCAGGAATAGGTGGTATCATTTTGCACAGGCATTTCAGGAACACCTTGTGTAATAACACTGGCCTACGAAACAAATTTTGGTACAATGAATCCAAAAATGACATTTGTTCATTTTGCTATGTTATCTTTTAAAGGGGCTGAACATTATGTCCATTTTTTTTGTAGAGCAATAACAAGTTTTTTTAGTTAAATGGGAAATTTTTTAAGTTTTTTTTACTTAAGACATGTTTATTTTTAAATAATTTGATAAAACTATAAGAATTTTATGAGAGCAACATAATGCATAAAAATCTTAATGATGTTTATAGCACCTCTTCCATTTATTGGTAGTTTCGCAAAATCATGCAAATCAATGTTAGAACGTAATTAATTATACATTAATATGTGTATATCAACTATGGTATTGTTAGTTAAAGATTAAAAAAAGTTAACTATTAGAAGGCCTAACTAAAGATTAAGCATACAATTTTAAATTATAAGAATGGCTATTTGTAGACTGCTCTTTGACGAAGGATTTTAAATTTTTTTTAGACACCTGTCCAATTAGTTAATGAGTGAATGTTATTACGTAGCAAAAAGTCGGTGTTTTAAACATTTCAATAGATCTAGTTCAAATATTCTTATTTAATTTACTCCGCAATATTATGTGTAAATTTTAATTTTTTTTAAATATCTTTATTAATTTAATAATTTAAATGATAAATTTTTATTATATTCACGCATGTGACTGTTAACAAATGTATAAAATAATAATTAAATGTTTATATACATATGCGCATTTCTGTATATACTGTGATGTTTTATCCCTATAAGTTTTACATATTTCAAGATACCACAAGCAATGATTTAAGTATCTGAGTATTATGATTTTTTTATTTTATTGCCAGACAACCTAAATTAATAACACTGGTCTACAGGGTGGTCAAGTTTTACCAGCCGATATCGAGAATTGATAATTTAAATTTGCTAATCATTATTTAGTATTTTTTGTATTTTTAATATTATACTGGATTTTTTCCTCATAGACCATACAACTTTTTTTTGTGTACTGCTGGTTAAATTTAATAATACAATATGAATTATACCTTGCATCTCAAGGTGAAATCAAAATTCGACCATATTTTATTTGAAAATGATTTTTTTATAGTATAAATTATCGACTGTTGAAATTCTGATGATATAAACTGGATCTCTATAAAGAATGGTTGCAATATCCGACAATCTTTAGGTTAAATTTTTTAGACCAGTGTTATTATCTAAAGTAAAAATTCGAGACAAAGAAATTAGTGCCATAAAAGCTTAAGTAAATTAATGAAAATCTTATGAAAACTTGCTTACATCACAAAGTGATATTTTACAGTATACACCAAATCCAAACTTAACATTACAAATGGTTTTATAAAATTATGCTAAAAATTTGTGATTTTATATAACTATTACATCTTAATCATAATAAATTTCCCTGCTTTCAGTATTTTTTATATTGTTTTTTTACAAATTATACACGCTATTTCATATTTATTACAAAATTTTTAAAGGACTGTAAAAATGAAGATTAAGAAAAAATTATTTAGTTCTTATGACTTACATTGTGTAATAAATTATTTATTTAACTTAAGTTTTGCACAAACAATTGTATATAAGAATTAATTTATAAATTATGTAAATTTGTTTAACTCTTTTTCTGTTTAGAGTTTTCTGTGCTTTAAAAAGTATGTATGTTAGTGTGATAATGTACTTCAAAGTACCTAAATAAAAAAGTGTGATGAAATTTGTTTTAATTTTTTTTTATACCTATACCAATATTATTGGCGTTTAAAATATTGACTTATTGTTGATTAAAAAAAAAGTCGTGTGACCTGTTAGATCACACCAAACAAAAATGTTTAAAAGTAAAAATAATATAAATTTAAAAAATCTGAGGGACGTGACTTTGGGTCCAAAGATATTATGGCATTATCTTTGGTTTGGTCGAGACTTTTCAATGTTTTCGTTGAAAATGTCGGAAAAAAATGTAAAGCAGTTTTACAAAAAGTGTTTAATTTTGAAGGGTTCTCTGATCCTTTGCCCAAAGCGAATACGAATGGTAAATATTTGTGGGGCCTGTAGTGGTTGCACAATTATTTTTTTAACGGTTCCGATAATCGGATGAAAATTGCAATTTTTAAGAAATTTGTTTTCATACACATGTATATATTTAATGAGCTCCCCATTTCACATGACTTTCATGATAATCATCATTATTAGGAAAGCCATGCACAGGAGAAAATCATGTCATCATCAGTGGCGTCGAAGCCCGGAGGCTGGGTAGGTTAGTTTTTAAATTATTATTTTTTTAGTTTTTAAATTATTATTTTTTCAAGTTTGCCAGTGCTATTCCACTTAACCAGGTTAAGTTAACCTCCAGAACAAAATAACAATACATATTTTTTTAAATTACAAAACTTAAATATCAGTTGGTAATTTGAAAATAACAAAATAATTCTTATTATACAGTTTAAACCTAAAAACCTTATATTTAATTATACATAAAACAAAAGTAGGTATAGAACATATACATTTTACAATTACATTGACACTTAAGTAATAGAGTTAAAAAAAAGAAATTTATTGCAGGCCATTTATTGCATTTATTGCAAGCCAATTGGCTTTTAGCAATTTTAAATCTGAGCTCAATCCATTATAAATAGTTACGGCATGTTTTTATACGTACTTAAAATTGACCATGAATCATTTTAAAATGGATAGAAATGGAAACATAATAACAACTTAACAAAATGAGTATGACCACGTGATTTCTTATACCAAAATTAAGCGATATAGCCTCCAACTCCTCTTTAGTGAACATAAAATTTCAGCTTTATTTTTTAGTCCGCCTCTACAGTTTATTAAATATATCATTTGAATATTTAAAGCTGTAAAAAATATTTTTAAAATATTTTATCAAGGTATTGAAGAATGGGGTTAAATATTACTTAATTTTTATGTACACAAATGTTTAATGTAGATTATATTCTAAATGCCTTGGTTTAGATTATTAATAATTGTGCTACAATTGTATATTAAGTAAGTAGGTATATATTTTTATTTAATTAACATTTTGTTTAGATTTGCGATGTTTTATCTGCTTTTAATAAAATCATTATCTCGTAAACTATTTAGAAAAACTGAATGAAAATTTCAGAGGATGTTGATAAATGAATGCAATGAGCAATAACATTATTATTATCGTATTGTTACCCTTTTTTGCAAGTTTATATCGGTTTTTTAATTAACAAATGCTTTTTTCTACAACGGATTTTGAAAGTTTCCAAGATATGATGTAAAAGTTGATCAATAATTCCATTATTTTGTAAAAATTGCTACCCTGCGTTGGCCTGTGTTAATTAATAAAATTGCAGGATCAAACCATATAGTAATGGACTCCCAGATCAATGCACAAAAACCAATATCTTCAGAACCGTGCGTCAAAAAAAAGATTTTTACGTTTTGTACAATTATGTTAAAGCTGATAAATATGTTTATCATTGCGACTCCATTACTTTATCCTGCCCAGGGGACTACCGATATATGGACAACTTAGCTTTGTTGGCATTAACCTGGAAGGGCCCCATAAGCGTGGCCCTGTATGCCCCTGGATATGATTTTTTAACTACTGTTAAGTCTATAGCCTATTTAAGGATTTGCAAATATAAGGAAATAAGGGAATTTGTGACTTTTCACCTATTTTTTGAAGAAAATCACATCTTTAAGGTAAGAATATTTTTTTATTAATTGTTGGTCCATAATATTACTCCTTATACAAATTAAATTATCCAGTTGAGAAACTCACGTAGGAAACTGGATCTGAACTACCTGGACTATCGTGATTTGTTGTTGTAAACCAACTTTCAATTACATTAAATTTAATGTGTAATTGGTAGTAAATTAATGTACTACCTAGTAGCACATTATCACAAAAATTCATTGCTTAAAATTAAAAAAATGTTGAAAATTAACCAATCGCTAATATTTACGATGATTTTATATAAAATGATAATTCTCTGACATTTCTGTTAAAGTTGTTACACATATTATATATATTTAATATTGTACCAAATACTGAATTTAAACGATTTATTTTTTTGTTTTAAATTATCGCCTCATCAATAAAAACCCCTTTTAGTAAATGACCGATAGAATCCAATAAAAAATAAGTAATTGGTTTGAAATGTGTTTTGGCGCTATGAATCACCAATTCATTCCAGTTACATTCCTATTGGTAAGTTTCAATGAAGTCAGCGGCTTAAATTGGAATATACCAATCCATGCCTATGCTTGTCCCTATTGGCTAAATCCAATAGAAATGCACCTGGAATGAATTGGTAATTCATAGCGCCAAACCCATTCAAACCAATTTATTTTTTTTAATTTGAAATTAAAAATACCAGTTGATTTTTCATTCAAAAATAATTAAGATCCCAGAAGAATAACTGGGTAAAAACCAAAATTAATTTTTCACAGAAGAGACAAAAAAATTATTATAACTGAGTAACTTTATTTCTTTATTATTTTTTTGTCTTAGTGAGATATGTATTGATACTTATAACTTACTAACACAAAAAAGTAATAAAAAATAAATAAAATAAAAATAAAAAATAATTAATTACTCGGTTATAATTATTATTTTTTGTCTTTCTTGCAAAGGATGTTTGTAGGCATGGTCGAAATCAATATTATTTATGTCAAATTTTTTTTATTTTGTCCGCTGTAACCACCATTCCCACGCCATCGTCCCTAAACCTTACACATATATAAGTACACACCATTTTAAGTACACAACTACCACTAAGCACAGAAACCCATAGATTATAAAAGAAACCGACTAATAAAAAAACGACATTAAATAGCGTCCAAAGACTTGTTTGTTTCTTTATAATAGCGTCTCAATCATTCGAACAAGGACTGCGTACGTTGGTTTTGGACAGCTACACGAGAGCCCTCTTGCGATATTTTAAAGTATTGGGAACAATCAATTAGCAGATTCCTTTTTAGAATCTCACACTGGGAATGCCCAATTGAATTTAATTGGAAATTCCCTATGGGTAGGTTTAACCAATCGAAACCACTAAAAACAGTAGAATCCTAATTGGACTTTTCCATATTTTAAAGTATTGAGAATAACCAATTAGCAGATTCCTTTCTAGAATCTTACACTGGGAATGCCCAATTGAATTCAATTAGAAATTACCTATTGGTAGCTTTAACCAATCGAAACCACTAAAAAAACAGTAGAATCCTAATCGGACTTTTCTATCATGGAAAATACCAGTAAAAACCAATTTATGTTTTATATCGCTCCCAATTAAACCCAGTAAGTCCAATTCAGATCTATTGATACCAACCAATATTTTAATTGGTTTCTATAAGGAATTAATTGGTCATTTACAACAGGGAGGGTTTTAAAGTGTCGAAAAAAAAACGAAAAAATTGGGGGAAAAAACTGTTTTTTGCGTTTTTCCCAGGTCTTGGAAAAATTGGATTTTTTGAATTTTTTTTTAATATACAAAGCAATTAACAACTAATAATTATTAGTTATAATTCTTAAGGATAATAAATTTATTACAGAAAAAACAAATAAACTTAAGAAAATAAATGTACCTAAACGTTAAATATACTGTCGGTCGGGTCCTTTTTGCACAAGGGATAAAAATAATAAATGATTTATAATGTTAAATTACAAAATTATAATTTTATAAATCAATGTGTCGAATAAAAGTATACCTAGTTACATATGTTAATAAAGCACCGAATTTGTTTTTTGCGACCCGGTAGAAGATTCTAACTGAATTATAATAATAAGAATAATTATTAAAATCAGGTACTATTATAGTACTACTATTTATATGATTATTAGACTGGGCCAAAAAAATTAACTATTTTTTTTTTTAAAAGTATATCGAAAATATGGTTTGGGGTGACAAAAAAATATTGTGAAAGTTTGAGTCCATAATAATAAGAGGTCTATCATCGCAATTTTAATTTTTTTTTCCTCAGCAAGTTTTTGTCTTAAGAATTAGAACTAGAATTAGAACTCCCAAACCATTGAATTTAACAAAATTGACTCGAAAATATTTTTTTAAGAAAATTAAATGCTCTACAAAAAAGATTAAAGTGAAATTTTCCGTCAGATGAACCGTTTCCTTAAAATCATGCCTTAAAAATTGGTATAGTTTTACATTTTGATCTTTTAAATTGAAATTTTGTAATTCATGTAAAAATCAGTACCCATAAAAAACCGATAAATATTCTTATGGGAAATCAAATGCATTACAAAAAAGCCTCTCAACATTTTTAGCTAAATTCACTCAATCAAAAGTTATTCAAGGTTAAAATTTCGTTTTGACTTCAAATTTAACCTTGAATAACTTTTGATGGAGTGAATTTAGCTAAAAATGATAAAAGACTTTTTTGTAGAGCATTTGATTTCCCATAAGAATATTTATCGTTTTTTTTTTCAGGGTACTGATTTTTACATGAATTACAAAATTCCAAAGTTAAAAGATCAAAATGTAAAACTATACCAATTTTTAAGGCATGATTGTAAGAAAACGGTTCATCTGACGGGAAATTCCAATCAAACCTTTTTTGTAGATCATTCAATTTTCTTCAAAAAATATTCCTAAGTCAATTTTGTTAAACTCAATGATTTGGGAGTTCTGAGACAAAAACTCGGAGTCGAAAATTCACTTTTTTCATGATATCAGTGTACAGATATTAGTAAATTTTCATAAAAATTGACTTTAATTTTTTTGTATTACCCTTTCAATAAAATAAAAAAAATCCGATTTTTCCGTTTTTTTAAGAAAAAACGTTTTTTCCCGCCGGCTTAATTTTTCCGGAAATTTTAAAACCCCAACATTGCTTACTAAGCTATTTATTAAATAGCAATAGTACTAAAAGTTTATTTATAGTCAATTAGTTTACTGACTGCTTGCAATGAGGTACAATTTAAAAAGTGTTGTTAACAGCGTTTTACTGGTTACGTTTATTGTATCGGTATTCGTAATATTTTTAGATATTAGAAGTTGTTATGAGTTTGGTGATAAGTTAGTTACTAATTTAAAAGAAAAACTAAGCGCAAAACGTTTAGCAACAAATAAAAACACTGCCTCCACAGTGGACAGAAATGAAAACTTTTTAGTTAAAAATAGTGCCAAAGTTAATCAAAGAAACAATTTCTACGTTTTCCCTAATTTTATTAAGCCCAATAGAACCATCAAATATGGTGAAACCATAACACTGACCACGCAGGCTGATTTAAGATTTCTCGACAATCTTAAAAAATTGACGAACATTTGGCAGGGCCCTATCAGTGTAGCTCTATACGCCCCTGGATATGACTTTTTCACTGCTCTTGAATCTGTTGCTTACCTAAGACAGTGTTCTGAATTAGATCTTGTTAAGTTTGTTACTTTTCACTTATTTTTCGATATAAAACATACACCACAAGTAAGTGTTTTTATCGCTTTAGTTTTGCGATTACATTTTTGTATATTTTATAGAAACTATTTACAGAAATGTTTGTTTAATTTTTATTATAATTTAAAAGATCTATATAAAACGCATCTACATAATATTAAAATTAAATTTGAGTATACCTACTTATACGAATTTTTGTTATAGAGGCCTATTTTCAATTTTATTTTTAGAAGTTCTGCAATCAGAACAAAATAACTTATGCCCTTATAATTAAATTGCATATGAAAGATTCGTTGCCTTTTTATGATACAAATGTTGTCACAGTTTTTCAAATAAATTTTTTTGCAAAATTTATAAAACAATTTAATTTTGAGGCAACTTTTTGGTTATTTTTTTTTACAAAACTAGCTTGGGCACTAAAACCTTAAAAATGTTGAAAGTCAAGACAGGAAACAAAAAAATATAACTTAGAATGTCGAAATAGAGCAAGAAGTGATTTATTGCGTAAAGCTAGCACAAAAAGAAACTTCTTGACCGAATAGATACAATTTTATTTGTTAAATGATACATAAAACGCACAATTATTAAAAGCAGAAAGTGAGGTTGGATCGATCTGATAGAAGTCGAATTTTTTTATTGGTCCAAAGTAGTAAATAATAAATTTTTACGGCCTAGTCTATAAATAACCTAACCCGATTGGTCTAAATGATTTTTAAATGCCCAGGCCATAATTAATCACTTTTCTTACTAGTGTCGAGTCAATACTGTTGACTACAAATTAGTTTAAATTATAGACCGATTAAACAGACATCAATTTTATCAAATCCTACATTGACAAGCTGTGACTTTATGTCGTTTTAATCACGGGCTGAAGTTGGCAATAGTGGCTTTTGAGCATTTTAGTCACGGGATGAAGTTAGCTTTATTATATATTGGGGAAAAGTGAGGTTAAATCCGTTGACATTTGACAGTTGTCAAATGTTTAACAAATAAAAATGGCTTTGTTTTTTTTGGGTTTGTCTTAGATAAAGTATAGTATGCGACTTTTTTATAAACTTCTCTAGACACTCGTTTTTATTTAACACTCGCTTATTATTTATAAAACTTAAATTGATACATAATATACTATTAAAATTTAAAGAATGTAAATTTTATAAACAAAAGTACTCAATTTATAAAAAACAATTAGTATGTCAAAAATTTTAGAATGTAGATCTAAATTCTAAAATTTTTGACAATAATTTATAATATTTTTTAAATAATTTAAAATATATTGTTACACAAATTCGTTGATAAAATAATAATTTTTATTAAAACGTGTTTTTTTTCTATTAATATATATTAATATTACCTATATGATAACAGAAGGCAAAATTGTATTAAGATTGGGATATGTGAATATATGAACCATTGAAAAGTTAGTTTTGTTTGTTTTATATCAATATATATTATAATATTAATTAATATTATATGGTAACAGAAGGCAAAATTGTATTAAGATTGGGATATGAACCATTAAAAAGTTAATAAATACTGTGGGAATTACCATTTTTTTAATAAAATGTATGTGTTTTAAACGTTGATTATATGCATAACATAACTTTATACGTATTTGCAATAATCACGCTATAGGTATTTTCAGAGAATTATCCAATAATAACACTATGATAGTTTTAGAAACTTTTTTTTCCTAACATTAAGTTAGTTAGTTTAACTAATTTTGGGCCGCTGATTTAAAAAATGTCATTAGTTTTTCTCTAGGACGTCTAGGATTTAAAACAATTTCATAATAACATGCTCTGCTCAATCACCTCAAAAGTTTTTTGTTAGTATTTTAATTATTTATTAAATTATTTTGGCTTAAATTTATCTTGAATGTACTGAAGTAATTGGTATACAATAAATAGATCATATTTATCTTAACAATATGACATTTTAAATACTAAAACTAAAATTTTAATGTATTTTTTGTAAAAAACACATTATTTGACATTTTTTGTCGTTTATTTTAATTATTAAATTGAAAGGGCAACAAAGTAAACAAGTTTCAGTATTTTTTATCCAAATTAAGCCCTCAAAATTTAATGCATTGCATAATTTTTTTCTACCTTAAATTTATTAAATCGTATCAAATATCGAAATATTGTGCTTAATCCTCATCACCGTCGTACATCTTTTGCTGCAAATTCCAGCAAATGTCTCCTAGCAATGAATCCGCTTTACCTATAGATATCTACCAATGCTCTAGATTTGCAGTTACTTGGTGAAATCGTTTAATCGTTTAATGTTCGGTAAATTTATCAGGATGAAAAAAAAAGTATTTTAAATGACATATTAACGCTAATTCTTTACAAAACGGAGAGCATTTTTTCAATGAATTGGCGCCAATTTTAGGCCCGATATGAACCAAGAACAGTTCAATATGCGACAAGCTCGTCAACTTTGAGAGCATTTTTGGATGCTTGATCTTTCATCAAACGTCGTATATCAGGTCCATTTAATACTCCTGCAAAATTAAAGTAGCAGGTATATCTCATACAATTTTGTAATGAAATATTGCGTTGGTTTTTCTTGGGCGTAAAGGTACCGCAACAAAAACAAAACAAATTTACAACGACGATAGAAAAGTGCTTTATTAAATATCCCTTATATAATACTACTATAGTATACGGCTACAATGGAACAACAAAATTCTATTTAACATTTTTCTACCGATGACTTTGTGAGTCCCTGTATATTTTTGACAAAAAACGTCAATAATATAATGAACATCCAAAATAGATTTAAGGCAAAATAATTTAATAAATAATCAAAATATTAACAAAAAAACTTACATTTTGAGATCATTGGGCAGAGCATTTTATTACGCAATTATTTCGAATCCTAGACGTCCTGGAGCAAAACGAGTGTCAGTTTTGAAATCAGCAGCCCAAAATTAGTTAATATAGGTGGGCGTACTCAATGTTAGTAATTCGAACTATCATAGTGTAATCCAACGTTAAATATTACAAAATAATGTTAATAATGTTAAATAAGCAAATATCAATTTACAAAATTGAAATAGTCATATCCGTACAAATGTCCAAATACCTACATTCATTTAATTGTAAAAACAAAAATACCCCCCTAGAGACTCGAATTAATTAAATGCGAGGTCAAGTATTGTTCGATTTACAATTTCTTACAGTTAAAAACGCTGCGAAATGATATTCATTTTATGATTAATGGGAATACACGCACGTGATTGGTATATGAGGGCACGAAATGATTGCAAACTTTTCACTTTTGTTGAATTGTTATCTAAAAATTGTAGATGTAATACTAGACTATACACTACATCTTGCGAAAATTGTCCCAAGCAGCAATTTGTGCCCGAACTTGGGCACGACACTTTTTGTTTCCAAATTGTTTCGACACAAATCGGAAAACTTATGTCTAAATGGAAACTTCAAATTTGTGGTTGCTTTGGGTCGACACCTTTTAAACCAATTGTGTCCAAAAAAAGTATGGGTCTAAGTAGCATTATTTCAGAAATATGTGCCCAAGTTGCGTCGCTTTTGTGCCCTTGGAAACAGTAACACAATTTAGACTCATTAGGGTCGACACTTAGTCGACTCAATGTTTCCATATTGTACCTTATCAATCTGTTTCCATTTTATTACCAAATTGAGTCAAGTGGACGCAAAAGTTTCCATTTAGCTGCATTTTAGATTCATGGTGTCTGATTTGTTTCAAAAATGTGTGGGGCGGGCGCATTAGGTTCCAAAGGGACACATTGTGTAATTCGCCATATTTTTTTGTTGAAACAGATACGACGCTTTAATTTTTTTTACATAATTTAACTTTCTGGTGAAATTTAAACTTAAAATTTAAAAAATGCAAAGTTTTAAGTTACATAGACGGCACATACGTCTAGTTTTGATAAAAATATAGGAAAAAAAAAATATTTTTAATAAAAAAAAATTATAAATACTTATTATTTGTGAGGCCCTATCAATTTTTAAAAGTATTTTGCTTATAATCACCAATAAAATTTTGTTCGCAATAAAAATGAAGGTAACATACCAAAAATGTTAGATTTAAGTTATAATGTATTTCATAATATTATATTATATAAATAATTATTAATAAGACATCACGCCTTACTTTGCCTCTTTGTATCTAGTTTGTTTCCAATTCGTTTCCAGTTAAAAATAGTTAGTGTCCATTTGGGTTTATTTTAGGACACAATACAGTACTGTGCAACAATTCGGAACAAATGGTGACCATTTGGTAACATACAAATTAGAAACTCTTTGGGCATAAATCGGTCACACTACCGGGCACATTGTGGGCAAATTTTAAGAAAAAATCGGGCACATTTTGTGGGCAAACTATGGACACTTTTTGGTACAACTTTCATCACCACTTTGGTCTCATTTACCACACTTAGTGGTCTTAAAGTGGACTATGTGTCTTTAAAATGTGTCGTGTCCAAAATCATGTTTCGACGCTGTGTCGACACATTGCCCAAAATGTGTCATTCTTTGCTGCTTGGGGTTGATTTTACTTCATATTATAACTAAAATTTTCAAAAAATTGACTTACACCATATGGTTCATTTGTGAAAAGACTGTCTTTGTAAAGACTACATTTGTATAAAAATATACATAATTTTATTTGGAATTCCAAATTGGAATTGATCTTAAGATCAACGAGTTAACACGTTGATCTTAAGATTACGTTTATAAATTAATTAATCAATAATTATAATAATTATTGATTAATTAATTTATAAACGTAATCTTAAGATTACGATTACAAATTCACAAATAAATTAATTTATTTGTGAATTTGTAAAAAGATACCTAATTTTAATTAAAATAAGATATCTTTCTATAAATGTAGACAATTGTCACAAAAACTAAAATAAATGACTAAAAAGATCTTTTGGATTATTTCTTATATATTTATAGAAACATTTTGGTCATTATATTACTTATAAGTAATATAATGACCAAAATGTTTCTATAAATGTAGACAATTGTCACAAAAACTAAAATAAATGACTAAAAAGATCTTTTGGATTATTTCTTATAAGTAATATAATGCCAAAATTTTTGCAATAAATCAATTTTATGAATGATTAACAGCTAAGGTTTGGACTGGCCTTGTCTTAATTTGATTGTTTTTCTTACAACGATTCTTTCGATTATTAATTCTATCTATAATTAAAGATTATTACTAATTGAAACGTAAGAAAAACAATCAAATTAAGGCAATGCAAGTCCAAAATTTACCTGTTACATTTCTTCAACCATCACATGTGCTGGCTATATGAATTGATGGCGCAAATGATGCATATGTGACATAAGTGCGGATTAAGAATATGCGTAAATTATGAACCTTGCAATGTTTTTCCAACCATCACATGTGCTGGCTATATGAACCTCAATTGATGACGCAAATGATACATGTATGCGTGCATACGTGCGGATTACAATCACGTTGTGACTGCAATATGCGTCAATTATGAACCTCTTAATGTTATCTTGGTGCTTAATGAAACAAACCTAACATGTTGTCACTTTGAAATTTTTGATTTTCACCTTAAAACTTATAAAAAATAAAAAAAAATTAAATTTTAGGCCGAAGAACCTTTACTAAGCCTATACGAGGACGTATACGATTGTGCCTTAGGAGCTCCGTATGAAAACATGAAGACTGAAGACATGTACAAACATAAAAATAATTTATTATACCCCATAAACGTGGCCAGAAATATCGCCAGAGATGCAGCACAAACTCACTTCGTCTTTCCATCTGATATCGAGCTCTACCCCACCCCGAATTTCATCGAGAAATTTTTAACCTTCGTTAACAAGAACCCCAAGCTTTTTGACAAAAACGAAAAAAACGTTTTTGTACTGCCGGTTTTCGAAATGAAAGAAGGTTACGAGATTCCCACAACAAAAACGGTGCTACAAACAATGATTAAAAACAAAACTGCATTTTTGTTTCACAAAAATATCTGCACTAGTTGTCATAAAGTTATAGATGGCGATGGATGGTTAAAGGAGCCGGAAACACAGGGTGTTAATGTTTTTTCAGTTGGCAAGAGGCAGGGCAAGCAATCCATGTGGGAACCTTTTTACGTGTGCACCCATAAGGAACCTTTGTTTGATGAAAGGTTGACTTGGGAGGGCCAGGGGAATAAAATGAGTCTGGTAGGTATTATTATTATTATTAAAATAAAGTTTGTCCGATTTTGTTTAAAAAAATTATAAATTAAAATAAATGATATCTGCAAGAAAACATTTCATAAACAATATGCATCTAGATATAGCCAGTATTAAACAACTGGAATAAAATCAAAATTATAACAGTTACATCACAATCCCACGAATAAGCGGGAAATGAGCTTTAGAAGGAACCTATATACACTCACAGGCAAAATAATCGATCCAAATAACTTTGATTTCGGATTTAAACGAATATTAAAGAATATTGTAGATACATTAATGGAGAATCGCTCACATTTTAAAAATTACCAAAAAATACACGTACGTTTATAACATTATATATAACATTACTCAATGTTTATAATATACAGGTTTAAACAAAAAGTTTTTTTTTACCATAAGTTTAAGACACTCTGTACAGTGGCAAAACTTTATATTGTTCTAAATTAAGTTTTAATTATCAAGTCACATCTATTTTTAACAGTTTTGTTTTTGGTTCACCTCGATATAGTTATTTTTGTGAAAAATATGATTTTTTTCAAAAAACATTGCAATTTCCAATATTTTTCCTGTATGAAGAACTAAGGTTGCTATGGTCCATCCATAGCCTATGGAGGATGACAGTGACAGTTTTGTTGAATCATCCCATACTTGGACATGTCATATACAGCTTTCAAAAGCTATCAAAAATTGTTTTTTGTAAATTAATGTGTTAATTTTGAGGTGTCTTCTTAATTTTAAAAATGTCTCCGACTGATGTTGCCCTTTGTACTTTACTTCTTGTGAAGTTTAAAACACTTGCCACACTGTGACCGTCCATCCTGGATTAAATTAATGGCTCTGGCAACATCAGTCGGAGACATATCCATTTTTTAAAGTAAGAAGACACCTCAAAATTTAAACATTATTTTGCAAAAAACAATTTGATAGCTTTTGAAAGCCGTGTATGACATGTCCAAGTATGGGATGATTCAACAAAACTTTCACTGTAATTCTCCATAGCCTATGAATGGACCATAGCAACCTTAGTTCTTCATACAGAAAAATATTGGAAATTGAAATGTTTTTTAAAAAATCCATATTTTCCACAAAAATAAATATACCGAGGTGAACCAAAATCAAAACTGTTAAGAATAGATGTGACTTGATAAATAAAACTTAATTTAGAACAATATACGGTTTTGCCACTCTACAGAGTGTCTTAATCTTATGGTAAAAACATCTTTTTGTTTAAACCGGGATATTATAAACGTACGTCTATTTTTTAGTAATTTTTTAAAATGTGAGCGATTGTCCATTAATTTATCTACAATATTCTTTAATATTCGTTTAAATCCGACATCAAATAAAAAAGTTATTTGCGATTGAAATTCATCGAAAATTTGTGTGGATCGATTATTTTGCCTGTGAGTGTATACGTTTGGAGTATAAGTCACTATAATAAGATATATACAGGGTGTTTTACGTTCGTGGTCCATTAAATTTTTCTGGGGAACGGTAAAATATATCGATTTAAAATTGTAAAAGCGTTTATAATATATTTCAGTGTATTTTTCTAAAATATTTTGAACAAAATGCCACTCCTGGTTTACGGAAGTGACATCAACTTTGTTATTTCAAATATATATTTTTAAATTTCACATCAAATTCTGAGTAAAATTACTACACCATGTCCTTAATTAATATTATTTTTTTGTTTAAATTTGAGAAGTTAATACCTTTTTTTATTTTAAATGTAACACCTGGTTTGTTTTTACATAATCAAATAATAAATTAAAAAACCTTTCGAATATTTCCTATTCTTAAAGTTAATAATTTAAAATATACTTAACAATTTCTTATATTTTAAATATTATTTTGTATCAAGAAACCTGTCCCACATAACACAAAAATATATTTAAAATTTTGAATGAATATTTTTGCTAAATAACCCAAGTATTTAGAAATATTAGTCATCATCATTTAAATGCCTCTAAAATGTTTTTACAACATTTATATGTCCCACTTTTTATATTTATACAATATTTTTTCACAACATTTTTAAAACATTTTTGTAAATGTTTTAAATACATTACCTAATATTTTATTAATGTTTCCTCAAATCACAAAAATATCTGAAAATATTTTAAATAACTTATAACAATATTTAGGAAATAATATTTATATAAAATTGCGAAATAATTGTTGAAAAATATTTAAGTGATATTTATTAATGTTTTAGAAATACTTATAGAAATATTTTTCCCTGAATGTTTGTACAACATTTCTTCAACCTATCATTTATAAATATTGTTCTCAAAACGGCCTGACAACATTTTTAGAATATATTGTGTTATGTGTATGTGTACTTTTTGTGTATAATGATCTTAATGTCTCGTATATATATTTTATAATCACTAAGGACAACATTGTATAATTTCTAAACATCAATATGGTAGTAATCGGCCATTTTAAGCGCGCGAAACGCAGGAATTACAGAACTGTTTTTATAAATAAAATTATATAATATTTATAATATTTTGGCATCAAAATTGTCAAAAATAAACTTTTTTTATTAGGTTATACCACAGCAAACGGAAAAATATAGAATTGTATAGGATGACTCCCCGTTTGAATTTTTTTGATTTTCTATATTCAACAGAGATGTAGAAACTCGACCCTGCAGTCATTTATGTCTCTAGAAATTATTGAAAAAGGGTTCAGTCCAATGGTGCAGCAACTTCGGATTCCTATTCTCTTCAGAGACATAGAAACTCAAGCTTTTCGAATTTTACTGGCAATGATTTTTGTTAATGTCCCTGAGAAATATACAAAACCAGCGCAATGCAATATCGCAACGGTTTCGACTTCTCTTTACTCTACCAAGTTATAGAAACTGCAGTTTCTATAACTTGGTAGAGTAAAGAGAAGTCGAAACCGTTGCGATATTGCATTGCGCTGGTTTTGTATATTTCTCATGGAGTCTCTCTAATACTGTTCTAGTCAATATTTCTGAGAGTATAAAAAGAGGGTGTAATACAATATTGGAAGAAGTTTTGATCTTTTGATGGATGCAAGTAGTTTGAATATTCCCATTTCTGCATATGATTTAGTTGAAAATAGTTCCTTTTTTTGGTTCCTTTGTCTGATTTTTATTTACCGTAACAACTCAGGTATGTCAAGCACAGAGGATATGATGTAAAGTATATTTATGTATTATATATAGTACCTATAGGTACTAGGTAATATATATATTTGTATTAAAAATTTCAGAGGTTATGTTGAAAAAATGATTGATATGCTAAGTATTAAACTTTAATAATTTAGTAATGAGGTCTGTTGGTAGACCCTGCACATCTCCACTGGTAGTTTTATGTTAGTACAGCAATATTTAAATCAGGTTGATCAAAAAGTACACACCAGTGCAGGTTATTGTAGCATCTACGAACAAATGAATGAATGGCCCATTGGCAATTATTCCTTTAGAAAAAATATTCAACACAGCTTAATTAATTAATAAAATGTAAAAAATCACAATCGTGTATAGTTTTTTTTTCAAGCATAAAATAATTTTCATATTAATACTAGTTCAAAAGTCAAATTACGACCTCTATACTGTGGAGAGTATTGAAACGCTCGAGTGACGAATACAACTCTATACCGTGGCGAGGGTTTAGAAAACTGTATTGAAACGTGGCGTCATCCAATACACTTCTATATTTTTTCTGTTTGCTGTGACATTAAATAAAAAAAACGCAAAAAATATTTTATAAAAGATAATTTTAATAATTGAAAGGTGTGGACTAGACAAAAAAAGATTTATCTTGTCCAAACCTGTACCATCCCGTACCATCAAGTTGAGTAATTCAATTAAATTTATGGATGTTATTTTGGACAACAATTTTTAATGGTAGTATTTAAGTACCTATACTTATTGATTTATTGATATATCTATACTTAATCCTTAATCTAAGATTTGTTGTTTCAACAGTAACACTAATACATGTAATTCCTAATATTATGCATTTGATTAGTCCAATTTAAAATATGGCATAATTCATCCCATACAAAATAATTACCTACCTATTCATTTTTCAGAAAAAAAAAATAGAATCTGTTGGAACGTTTGTAAAATAACCTACTTACACTTACATAGATCTTTACAAGAAAACCAGTTTTATGTTTAACAATATATTGATAATTAATCAAACTTTGCTTTGATTTTATATATAATATTATAATTATAATATTATATATATTATAATAAATTGCCAAAAACAATAAAAGACCTTAGTTTGAGGGAATTCAAACCTTACTAAAGAGGATTGGATTTGTTAGTAGTTTTTTTGAATATTTATATATACTTTTTTTGGACAACATTGTAAACATTGCAATCTTTCTGATCTAATAAATCTATTTTATTCTATTAATAGAATTCTATTGAATAAATGGTAAAAAAATCAAAGGTTCGTAGGCCACGCCAAGACAAGCATTTTTGGTCCTGAGGACATGTTTCCTAAAGGGCTTAAATTTATGGCTACATGTTAAAAAAAAATTATCCACCCCAACCCACACACCAACACAACCACTCTACTGTACCTCCGCTAACAGCTCGAAATTCAAACGGCACGAGCAGTTTTATAAACGAGTGTTGTATTTTGTAAAATTACAAAATTTAAAATGCCGTTTTTATGCAGAGTTGACCAGACTAATTAGAAAAAATATACCCATGAAAAAATGTCAGTGGTGTACAACTTTTTTTGTAAAAATTCTTAACGAAAATTTATACTTTTATATCCTACCAATACAATACACACCAATATTAAAAATAATATCCAAAGTTCTTTAAATTTTTTGTTGAACCCTTGCCCTGTATATCCTCCATTTCTTCTATTTTTTTTTTATAAAATACTTAATAAATTTAACATTTTTAGGCCTATTCATTATGTTTATTGGATTATAATTTTGTTGTTTTGGATAACGCGTTTTTAATGCACAAACCTGGCGTCAAACTAAAAAAACTGCAAAATACAATGTACAAAAATGTTACCAAAGAGGCTGCAAAATTATTAAAATACCACGTTAACAAAGAGTTGCGGGAAATGTATGGAAATAACCCAAAATGTAAAATATATTGAAATAAAACCAGTCTTATAATTTTTGTTTTATTAATTTTTATTACAAAAGATTTTTATAATTTTTATTGTTGTTTTAAATATGTATAAAAAAATTATAAATAAATTTTATAAGTTTAAAAAACATTTTGATTGCTAATCAATAATAAATAACACAAAATTGTAAAATCACATTTTGTTTTAATAAATAAGTAAACTAACTTAAAAACAAATATCCTTTTATATACACAGCTAGTTTAGACTTAATAAATCTGCAGTAGGTAGTTTAGAAAAAATTAGATAATCTGATTTTCGTCAAAATGAGATAAGTACACCCATATTGGTGTCTTGGACACTGTTTAAAAGTAGTCAAGTCGAAATGTAAAATCTTTTGAATGTCAAATGAAAAACAATTTTTTTTACCGTGACGGGTGGGACAAAAAATGAAGAAATGCTCACTGATTTTTATTACACAATACACCCTTTTCTGGACCCATAAAGTCGTTTTATTTCTGGAAATATTCTACTGCCTATAAGTCTATTCGTTTGTGATGAAATTTTGTTTCTTCCAGGATCGTTATGATACTTTTTAATCCCGGGTCTGTGTACCAAGAAAGCATTGTTTAAAATCAAAAAATCGTAGTCTTTAACGCATAAGACATAACCCTAAAACAAGAATATTATCTTAATAAAGATACTTTCCAATAAAATAGCCTACATTTTACCCCTTTTTCCAATTGTAAACAGGACTAAGTGCTGGCTTACTTAGTTTTTTGATATGTCAATTTTTAAAAACTAAGTACCTAAGCCAGGATTTTTTTCTGTATTATTGGAAAGAGCAGAAAAACGAAGGAAAAAAATTGTAACGGGAAAAAAGTGGCTCGGGTGTACAAATATAAAATTATTTTTTTTTCTAACTTTTTATTTACCGCGTACACATATACGAAATCTGAAAATCCCAAATTTTTTTTATAAATAAAAAGGGGCAAATCGAGTGGTATTATAGAAAAGTACCCTTCTATAACAAAACCTGAATCCAACCATTCGTATATTTAATTCGAAATTCGAATCGTATACCTATCACTATTATAAAAAATAACAAAAAAGTCAAGTTTGACACATTTAAAATATTTAATTTTAATTTTTTCTACCGCACAAGAACTCTACATAATAGTGGTAATACAAGCCTGTCGAGAATTGTAGAAAATTTTTGTAATTTTCTATTTTTTGTTTCATTTTTGTTTTAGGTTTCTATAGCGTTTTTAATTTGTTTGTAAGCATACGAATATATGTATTTATATCATGTTACTATTGGCAGGGCCGTACCGAGGCACACTTTTTTGGGGGGGTGGAGACGATAAAAAAACAACTTATTTTTTTATCGATACTTTAGTAGTAATAGTAAAAACTTTCAGTAGTTTTATCATGAATGTAAAGTGTTGTAAAATTTTCAGTAGTTTTATCATGAATGTAAAGTGTTGTAAAGTGTAGATAAAGAATGTCTTTATACCATTAGCATGCTCTTTCGAAGTCGATGGGATTGATTCTCGTTCTCTATTTTTTTGATTTGCTGCCAATGTAAGTGGATTATCCGGAACAGTAACAATTTTGATTTTAACCAAATTTTCACCGTGAATATTTTCCTCGTGCATTTTTTTCTAGTCCTTGTTAAACACAGATCCACATAATGAGCATTTTACTAGAACTCGGCCCGGTCTAGCTTTCTTTTCCATATTAAAAAAAATTAATTCCTATTTATTGACACTAGTTTTAATTAGCTTAGATAAGCTTCAACTAATTAATAATCTAGAAAAATAAGACGCCGAAAATTGCGGTGGGTAGAAAGAGTCAAACGCCGCCAAAACCAAAGACAAAGCAGCGAGGCGGTGCCGACTTTGTACATATGCCGCTTGACCAATACAATTTTCTTGACGGTAACGATTATAGGAGGTTACAATAGATTAAAAATTATAATTTTGTAATATGTAGGTAAAGTTTAAAAATTATATTTCATTTTATTTATTGTGAATCACAATTTGTGATGGGTTGGTTGGTAGGGTAGGTATACCCAACCAACCGACCCAAATACTATAGATTTTGCCAACCGTGTTTGGATTTGGAACCAACTGCCAAGACTTTGGGGGGGTGACTCCCCCCCCCTACACCCCCCTTAGGCCCGGCCCTGACTATTGGTTTAATTTTATTTCAATGTTTTTTATGCATTTTTAATTCAGCTACAAAATCGTTCCTACTTAAAATGTTTTAATAAAATTTAGTATAGGGCTGTTTTTTTTAAATCGCTACTATAATTTTTTTTTAATTTACTCTTGACACTAACATAGTAGGCGTGGTGTTTTTTGTTCAATTTATAAAAATTTGTCTGAAACCTTCCCAATTAATTCCTTATCGAAACCATATAACCAATTGAAGTATTGGTTGGTATCAATAGGTCCGAATTGGACTTACTGGGTTTAATTGGGAGCGATATAAAACAGAAATTGGTTTCTCGATTTTTATGTAAGAATGTCATATTCTCGCACGCAAAATCGTTGAAGAATGAAGCTCATTCTTAAACGATTTTTGGTAACATTTAGTTTTTAAGTATTGGTACCCCCAAAATGTCAAACTGATTAATAACCTCAAATTCATTACTTTTATTGAAAATGAAGCCTTTATTATTGTTTTGTAATATAAAGTTTGCTCCAACAATGCATTTTAATGCAAAATTTTAAGTTTAATGTGTAAAAGTGCAGTTCAGGTTGTACTTGTGCAGGATAACAAATATTGTCATTTTGTGTTGCCAACTGACATTTTGCGAGAAAAATCCCCTAACTAACAACGACCACAAAACAATTAAAAAAACCTAAATAAAAGTTAAAATCGAGAAAATAGTATAAATCACACGTTGCAGAAGGCTATTCTCGCACTCATTCGTTCGTCCACTCGCTCCTTCGTCGCTCGAGGCCAAATTTCGAATTCGTGCGAGAATATGTGGCCTTCTGCAACTTGTACTTTAATATACTATTTTACTGGTATTTTCCATGATGGAAAAGTCCGATTAGAATTCTATAGTATACTGTTTTTTAGTGGTTTCGATTGGTTAAAGCTACCCATAGATAATTTTCAATTGAATTCAATTCCCAATACTTTAAAATATGGAAAAGTCCAATTAGGATTCTACTGTTTTTTAGTGGTTTCGATTTGTTAAAGCTACCCATAGGTGATTTCCAATTAAATTCAATGGGGGCATTCCCAGTGTGAGATTCTAAAAAAGAATCTGCTAATTGATTATTCCCAGTACTTTAAAATATCGCAAGAGGGCTCTCGTGTAGCTGCGCAAAACCAAAGTACGCAGTCCTTGTTCGAATGGTTGTGACGCCATAATAAAGAAACAAACAAGTCTTTGGACGCTATTTAATGTCGTTTTTATATTAGTCGGTTTCTTTTATAATCTATGGGTTTCTGTGCTTAGTGGTGTGTACTTAAAAAAGTGTTTATATGTCGAAGGTTTAGGGACGATGGCGTGAGAATGGTGGTTACAGCGGGCAAAATAAAAAAAAATTGACATAAATAATATTGATTTCGACCATGCTTACAAACATCCTTTGCAAGAAAGACAAAAAATGATTATAACCGAGTAATTTTATTTATTTTTTATTACTTTTTTTGTGTTAGTAAGTTATATGTATCAATACATATCTCACTAACACAAAAAAATAATAAAAAAATAAAGTTACTCAGTTATAATAATTTTTTTGTCTCTTCTGTAAAAAATGAATTCTGGTTTCTACCAGGTTATTCTTCTGGGATCTTAATTATTTTTTAATGAAAAATCAACTGGTATTTTTAATCCAAATTTAAAAAAATAAATTGGTTCAAATGATGAATTAATAATTCATTCCAGGTGCATTTCTTTTGGATTTAGCCAATAGGGACAAGCCGCTGACTTCATTGGAACTTACCAATAGGAATGCAACTGGAATGAATTGGTAATTCATAGCGCCAAAACACATTTCAAACCAATTACATATTTTTTATTGGATTCTATCGGTCATTTACAATAGGGTTTGCATTTTACCTGAGTCATTTTATCCCGTTTCCCTTCCCAACTGAGCCGTTCGTCGTACAAAGGTTCGTCATTAGTGCCTATATAAATGGGTTCCCAACTTTTGTAAGGCCCCTGCCTTTTGGCAACATGGAAGACCTCCATGTTTTTACCTTCAGCGGCTTTTTCCCACTCCCTCGCTTTAGGTATATTGTGACACCATGAACACACGAACTTGTGGAAAGGAATAGCCGTTTTTTTCCGAAGCATGCCTTGCAATGCGGTTTTTGTTTCGGGCACTGCCTGGTCTTCTTTGATTTCGAATATTGGTATGGGGAACACTTTGTTTTTGCTTTGGAGGGGGCCCTCGTTTTTTTCTATCATGGCGAGAAACTTCGGGATGATGTTTGGACTGGGATAAAGCTCAATGTCTGAGGCAAAAATGTAGTGAGTTTGTGCGGCTTCCCTTGCAATGTTTCGCCCCACATTCACCGGGTATAGAAGATTCTTTTTGGTTTTGTACATTTGTGAGGATTTTTTAACTATGGGAGGTCCCCCTTTGCAGTCGTATGTTAGCTGTGAAATTTTCTCAAAAGATGGGATCTAAAAATTGTAATTATAGTTTTTACACGAAACACGAAAAATGTTTTACCTCTTTGGGAAGATGTTTGTTATGAAAATACACATGGAAACTTACATACTCTCTTATCATATTACTTGTACATTCTCTAAAATACAACATCGATTCAAGGGTATCTTTGAAATCATCACCTGGAGCATGTAAAGCTATGCTTACTGGACCCAACCATCTTTCCACTAAAGGGGGCAAATTATCCAAAAACTGAAAATCCCCATGGGTCGTGTAGGTAATACTTTCGTGGCAATGGAATTCCATTTTGGGTTTTATATAATTTGTCATCACCCAATATTCACCCCTCTGGTATATTTTTTGATCCAATGGTTTATCGTAACATCCCATCTTGTTGACCGTTTTAATTGATTCAGTGTTTTCATAACTAACTTTTTGTATAATATATTCTTTTACTACTTTTACTTGCGGGTGCTCATGAGGCTTATATTTTGTTATCACAAATACTAGAAATGATACGGTTAGAAGAGTGATATAATATTTTTTATTCATCTTTATCTAAATTAAAATTGTAACTAACAAAACAACCAAACCTTTTAATGTTATTCCCTTATCTGTTTGGGTATCTTATCTTTTGGTTTTAAAATTTTTTTCGATTGTATTATATTATATTTTTATTCCTTTATAATTCCTAAATAATGTTTGCTTTTTTCTTCAAGGAAACAAAAATATTATTTATTTTAAACCTACGACTAGTTGCTAAAAAAATTGTTTTATATATACATATTATTGTAACATTTTTATCCCATTACAAATATGTTTTTTCCTTGAGAAAATCTTTTAAAACCATTTACTTATAGTTATTAAACTAAAATTAGTTAAATATAATTCCTAAATAATGTTTGTTTTTTATTTTAAGTAAACAAAAATATAATTCCTAGATTTCTCTAAAATTAAATTAAAATATTGTAGAAAAAAGTTATGAATTTATTAAAGCAACCACTCAACCTATAGGGGAAAATCCTTTACAGGATAATAATCGACGTTATCAAATTATTGTGTGGGGACACTTGGCGAATGGAGTAGAGGGGGGTAATATAGTAATAATATAGCATGTGCATTAGGGTGATTCATTTCCGCAAAAAACTTTTTTTTTCTCGGCGCTCAAGCAAAATAAAAATCTACCTATAGAAAAATAAATTTTCACCAAGGTAGAGCTCTTAATATCAATTTTAAGTACTTGCAGTTTAAACTTAAAGTTTTCCCATTTAAAATGCATGTAAAAAAAATGTTTTTTTTTTCAAATTTCTAATGCTCGCCTGCTCTTTACAATATTGTAAATCGGTTTTATGGACCTTATAGGAAATTTCACGCTCTTCAAAATTGTCTTTGTGTTTTTTTGTGTAACTCGTAGTGGTTCGCCAGTAGGAGTCATCAAAGTTCAATTTCTTGAATGAACATTTTTTTTGCAATTTTTTTTTAACAATTCGCAAAAAATAGTGAAAAAAAATAACTGAATCGTAAAAAATAGTCTTTTAACAAATATTTGATGAATTTACGGCCATTTTTATATCTTAAAACGTAAGTAATTGATAAATATTAACCAATTATGCTATTTAAATTAAACTTTCTTATTAACTATCGATATAATTCTCTACAACAATAACTTTTCCAGAGTTATTATGATTTTTGACTTTTAATAAATATAAAAAAATACATTAATTTATAAAAAAACAACAAATATACAATTGCAACTTAGATTCTGCAATTTTTCAACATTTCCGTAATATAGCAATAAATATAAATGAAGGTTATTCAATTTTTTTTTAACAAAATTCTTAAATTAACGAAAAAGTAAATTGTTTTTATTGTCAACTTCATTTGCTTCAATATTGTATAAGTAGAAATTGCTATTTGAATAATTGCACTAAATAATATTTTGATGGCACATTCGAACATAAGTAAAAAAATAATGATAATTATTTGATTGGGAAAGCAACTGTTACAATTTTATGATTGCTCTAGTTAATTAGTATGACGTTAGCGACTCTATTGTCTTTGTAAACGGGTTTGATGCTTTATGTTATACTTAACCCCAAAATGTATTGTTTGTTGTATTTAGTGCACGTTAGAGTGCCTGCAATTTATTTTTTACGAGCACGCTAGTGACGTCACGTACGTAATAGATAAAAAACGTCATCACTGCCCTGTCGCTTAATTTAAAATTGGCAGCACAACAATAATATAATAATAAATTGTACCTGTATACATGTTAAGGGCACGTTAGTTACGTCATAAAATAAAATCTTAATTTGCTTTGTATAGTAAAAGTCGAAATAATTTAATATTTATCAACTTGTTTATTTATGACTATTGAGATTTTTATTAAATTTGCAATATATTATCTAATAATGTAATCTGTTATTTGTTTTGATTAAAGTTTTGTAGTTTTTTTTATGAATTGATGTGTTATGTTTATATTTATTTTTAGTCAGAAATCATAATAACTCTGAAAAAGTTATTGTTGTAGAGAATTATATCGATAGTAAATAAGAAAGTTTAATTTAAATAGCATAATTGGTTAATATTTACCAATTACTTACATTTTAAGATATAAAAATGGCCGTAAATTCATTAAATATTTGATAAAAGACTATTTTTTACGATTCAGCACTTTTTTTTCACTATTTTTTGCGAATTGTTAAAAAAAATTGCAAAAAAATGTTCATTCAAAAAATTGAACTTTGATGACTCCTACTGGCGAACCACTACGAGTTACACAAAAAAACACAAAGACAATTTTGAAGAGCGTGAAATTCCCTATAAGGTCCATAAAACCGATTCACAATATTGTAAAAAGCGGGCGAGCATTAGAAATTTGAAAAAAAAACATTTTTTTTACATGCATTTTAAATGGGAAAACTTTAAATTTAAACTGCAAGTACTTAAAATTGATATTAAGAGCTCTACCTTGGTGAAAATGTTTTTTTCTATAGGTAGATTAATATTTTGCTTGAGCACCGAAAAAAAAAAAACTTTGCGGAAATGAATCACCCTAATGTGCATGTGCGACTCACCCCTGTAAAATCTTTATTTATTGTGCGATTTTAACCGGGTTTGTTTTAAATATACTCCACAATTAATTGTACAAAATATATTTGTAAACAAGGCCTACTATGTCAGTTTTTAAGAGTAAATTTTTAAGAATTTATATTAGCGATTTTTTTAAATAAAATCTAAGCACGGCACTGGATTCACCACCCCTAAAATCGACCCTATACTAAATTTTATTGGAAAATTATATGAAAAAAAATGCACAATAATAACTTGACAAAATAAGTTTTTGTAGTTATTATTGTGCATTTTTTTTTCTTAAAATTTTTCAATAAAATGTAATATAGGGTCGTTTCTGAGGGGTTATGAATCCAGTGCCTTGCTAAGATTTTGTTTAAAAAAAATCGCTAAAATGAATTCTTAAAAATTTACTCTTAAAAACTGACATAGTAGGCCTTGTATTTTGTAAAAATATGGCGTTTTTTGCTTCAAAAATACAGTTTATCAAGATCTACATGGGTCACACTGTATGTATACTTGTGAAAATATTTGATATGACATTTATTTTAATTACTTATTATATATAACATACAGTGCTTGCAAATCCAAGTCCGACCGCACTGGAAAGGACGGCTGTTCAATACCCGCGTGAAAAGAACAAGGATAGAACGCCAAATAGAATTTGATTGGCCAGAGCCGGCAGGCTACGACAACGCATACCCATCGCGCACCTCGCAGCGTGCTTGACACGAGGATATCAGAACCACAATCCATTGTGTGGATTGTGATCAGAACGAGAACTGCAGTGGTGCCGGGGCTGCGACGGGGAAACGAGCAATTCCCTGCCGATGCATTCCGCCGCATGGAATTTTGCGAGGTTGTTATGGAGAGAGCAAATGCCGACCCAAATTTTATCGGTAATATTTTATTTACTGACGAGTCGACATTTACTCTCCATGGCAGGCACAATTCGCAGAATGTTCGAATGTGGGCGCGAGAAAATCCTCGTAGGATTTATGCAGCTCGGACACAGTATCCCCAAAAACTTAATGTCTGGGCGGGTATTTTGGGCGAGCGAATAATTGTCCCATTTTTTATAAATGGGAATTTAAATGGCGCTAGGTATTTAAATCTCTTAAGAGACCAAATAGTTCCCGCGCTTCAAAATTTAGACGGAGTTAACATCGAAAACGTATGGTTTCAGCAGGAGGGTTGCCCCGCACATAATACGATGGCTGTTCGGGAATTCCTTTCCGACACTTGGACCTCGTCTTATTATGGGTCGAGGAGGAATTATCTGGCCAGCTAGATCACCGGACTTGGCGCCGTGTGATTTTTTTTGTGGGGGTACCTCAAGTCGAAGCTGTACGTTTTCCAGGAAGATCGGGCTAATAACCTCAATGATTTAGGAATCCGCATAACTAATTTGTTGGGGGATATTAGTCCAGAAGTCCTAGCTAATGTGCGTGGGAATTTTTATAATAGGTTAGGCTATTGTTTGGCTGCCTATGGGGGCTTGTTCGAACATTTAATTTAATTTTTGAGTTTATTTATTTTTAGAGTTTTATTTTTATTTAGAATTTTATTTTTATTTATAGTTATTTTTATTCAAAATTATTTTTTATTTGAGAAATCTTTTTTATTAAGAATACTATTTTTGTTGTTGCCCTAGTTCTCAAGGAAAAAAAATCAAAAAATTTTATTTTTAGGATTCGGGTATAAAATATTTCAAAAGAAAATTTGCTTAACACTAAATCATTTAGTCTAAATTAGGGTGGTCACCCTGGTCTAAATGCAGCCAGACTGGCTGCCAGAGTTGACCTCGCTTACAATTCGCACGCATCCGGCTCTAATAACCAAGATATCGGTATACGCAAAATCCACCAGTCGCCACTGGGTTATGGAACTAATTTTCAATGTTAGAAAACAATATTGTTTCTATTTTAAACTTTGTTTTTATTATGTATAATAAATAATTATTTTAATAAAAAATATAAAGAACCACATGCGACATTAAACTTTAAATAAATAAGCTTGAAAAAACATTATTTTTTGTTGTTGTAAAATTCATTAAAAAACTTATTGGTAATAGTATATTAAAGAACTAATGTCATAAGACGTCATTTTGGCACACAAACAGACAAAAGGTCTTATGACATGAATTCTATATGCTATTTTAACTATTTTGCAAAAATTCTATAAAAAAATAAATTTTTTACCCTATATTTAATTTGGTCGAATTTTACTTTAGATAGTTGGTATCACAGTTATTGGTTTGAAGGGTTAATGTCAAAATCGATTCGCCATGGCGTCCTTAATTTACTTATTTACAATAAGCGGTTGTTAATGTTAAAGAAGAAAAAAAGGATTTTCTTTGGTGTTAAACAAAATTTATTGCCAGAAAAATCTCGTAAGTAGGTACTAGAAAAATCATAAAAATATTATAAACAATATGCAAAATATTATTTTACTACCTATAAAATCAAAATTTTGGGTGGGGTAAAGTACCTCATTACAGCACCGAAAGCAGTGTTACAATGAAGTCATTATGAACGCAAAATAGATAAATGTATTTAATAGTATATTATGTATTAAGTTTTATAAACGCCATTTTAGTTACGAGTTTAATTAAGCACGAGCGAAGCTTGCGAGCGAGTGTTTAATAAAAACGAGTGTCTAGAGAAGTTTATAAACGAGTTGCATACTATACTTTATCTACGACGACCACAAAACAGAATTTAAAGCCAATTTTATTTGTTAAAATTTTGACATCTGTCATTTGTCACCCGAATTTAACCTCACTTTTTCCCAATTTATAATAAGCTAACTTCAGCCCGTGATGTAAAATGTAAAAGCCACTGTTGTTAACTTCAGCCCGTCAATAAAACGCCATAAAGTGACAGCTCGTCATTGTAGGAGTAGATAAACTTTTTTTGGCCGATTGTAAAAAATAATTCATACTTTATTAAAAAAAACATTTATTTATGTAGATTGTATAATACAATAAACAAATTAAAACAATCCTAAGATTGGTTATACATGGCAATGCTAAGTTTACTCTTAAATAATTAATTAATCAGAATATAATAATCTACCACTTAATAATTGAGTTAGGACTAAAAAGCTTGATGAAAATGTAGAATGGGGTTAAATTAAAATTTAAACATAAAAAATATAGAAACCAAGTAAATTTTCTACTTTTTTTCAATTATTCAGTCTAAATTACTTATCATCATATCACAGTGCTTTTCTATGGTATTCCGGAGAAGCATTGCCGTAATCTTGTAAACTAAATAACTGGGCGCTGTTTTTTATTAAATACTTAAGAAAATCCTGTATGTTTGTCAGCAGCAGCTGTATACTTCTTTCGTCCAGTGGCGTATATGCTAACATGGCGCCCAACTTTACAAACAGCCTTAACAAATGAATGGCGCCGTAAATTTCCGACATGGGCTTATCAGGGTGGCTTTGCAAAATTTCCGCATACTGCGGCCTCTCGAATTTGTATAAAAGTTGCGTGCCCAACATTACGTTAAAATATTCCTTGATTCCTTTCACGATTTCTATGGTGGCAGATTCTTTGCTCGCGTTGTTCGATTTGGCAGATTTTCGGTAATTCAAGTAGTTGTCAAGGATTTGGTCGACGTTAGTTTTCGCCGGAAGGTTGGCCAATTTTCTTTGACGCGTAATTATATCCCAATCGTCCACTAACCATGGTTTAAGTTCGTCGGGAATTTTTACTTTAATTTCAACCTAAAAACAAAGATTAATTGACAAATAGCATATATGGGTGATTCTCCAGAACGGAGCAAATATGCTGAAACTCTTAAATAAAATATACTAATGAAAGTAGTTATTTATTATTATTATTTATTTTATTAATTTGAATTTGCTTAAACGCTTTAAAGTCAACTCCATGGACTGTCACCGCCTAGCGTAGGGACAACAAATCATCCATATACTATTAGACTAGATGCAATTGTGAAATTATTCTTTCATATTGCATTTCCTCTAACTTGGAATGTAAAAAAAAACACAACCAAAAGCAAAATTATTGATATTTTAACCCAAAATGTCGAATAAAGCATGAGACACCATTTTACAGCTAAGTTCTTTGCTGTCTTTTAACATATGATAAATCCCCTGTAAGTATAAAACGTATTTTAGTAATGTTTGAAGACTTCGTCGTTTGAGTGATTTAGTGTTGATTTGTGTAAGCAAGACAAAGGGGGTGTAATATTTAATAAAAAATTATAAAGAACAATTATTTGCGAAAAAACGGGTAAGTATTTTTATTAAAGATCAACTCCATGTCTTTAATAACAAAGGGATTTAAATACAATTGAAATTTAAACTTTCTCCAGGTGAAATAACCAAATATGCTTTGCTTAAATTACAGTTAACTAAAGATACATTATGTAACATTTTGTAAAGGTTGTGACTTTAACTATAAAAACATCAACTCCATGGACATCAACTCCATGGAGTTAAAAGGTATGTTCATGGAGTTGTTTACTTTCTTATTATTGCCCTAAACTCTTAGCTCATATAAGTTAAGGCATTATTAACGATAATTAATAAAATATAGTTAAATTATAATAAATTAAATTAAATTTTTCTTTAAAAAAAATCTCTAATAGTATTATTATTATAACTATATACAGCATATACATATAGAGATGAAATGGATAGTTGTTTGGCCAGACACCGGATCCCAAATATCCGGCAAGAATCGAAGCCGGATAGCCGGATATCCGGCGGCCGGATATTCGGATATCCGGGAGTTGAAAGATCGAATTTTGTTTCCTTTATTTGCATTTTTTAAGAATAATATTATTCTATTTAAATAAAAGTATTAATAGTATATTAAAGTACAAGTGGCGAAAGGCACTGTTTTCCCGCACGAGTCCGAAATTACGGCACGAGCCGCGAAGCGTACGAGTGCCGTAAAGGACGAGTGCGGAAATATCTTTCGCCACGAGTGCTTTATACTATTTTTTCTATTTCCGTTAATTTCTATTATAATATATAATATATAATATTATAACTATAGTTAGTTATGGATTAGGAAATTTTTATGTTAAAAATCATTTGCAAACATTTGCTAAAAGATAGTTCTTTTCTGACATCTATTCAGATTCAGATTCAGAAGATGATTTGCCGTTATCTTATCTAATTCAGAAATCAACAGAACAGGCAATACAAGGTTAGATTTATGTTGTTTTTATGTTATTGTGTCAACTCCATGGTTCAGAACGTCAACTCCATGGACTCATTTATTTTTTGTTAAATAATAGAAGTATTAAGTTTAATTTATAGCCGCCTTGAAATTACTTTATGTTATTAAGAAATACACATTGAGGTATTATTTTGCTAGTGTTTTATTAATCTTTGCTTTTTATTTTTTTACCACCCCAATTTATCCCCGTTTTGGATATTCACCCATACACCCAAGCAGCATTTTTGGATCCAAAAACCTTCACCAAAGTGGTGATAACTTTAAATTAGTTAAGTATACTAAACAGCTACTTTAATTTTTACTTAAAAGTAATTCTAACTTTTAAATATTTAGTAATAGAAACTTCATTCTTTCCTTAAATGGTTACTATAAAGTAATAAACATTTAAGTAAAACTTGGTTGCCCCCAAGAAGACTTTGCAACTTTAAAAAGGTGTTTAAGTAAAAAAAAACTTTCAAGTAAATTTAATTTGTAGGAGTTACTTTCGGTTGCTACCTAAAGATTACATTATAATTATTTTTACTTTGTAGTCCCTTTGCAAGTTAAAATCCTTGAAACTGGAACTTGAGTTAAAAACTACAAAGTTAATAACTTAAAAGTTATTATTTTAGTATTTGGAACGTTTATGGTACTAACCAAAACTACCGTAAAGTAAATTAATGTGGAAAAAACTTTAAAGTAGCGAAAACTACTTCAAAGGAAAATGCTTCTTATCGGCCATTTTTACTGTACAGTACCACGTGATAATGTAAATAATAAATTATTTTAATTGTTTGTAAATGGTTGTTTACTTTTTAATAAATAGTAATTTTGTTGGTAATAGATGGTATTAATAATTAAATAAAAAAATAATAAAAAATATTAAGATTTTTTTATTTATAAACATTATTAAATAAATAATTAGTTTATACTTAAATATTGATGAAGCGCATTTATTTTACAAAAACTAAATTCATAAGTTCAGCAGTAAAATTTAAAGGTTTTATAAATTTACCTTATATTGTTATTCTGGAAGTTATAAACTACCAATACATATTTAATAAACGACGACATTGAAAAGCCAAGTCCGTAGTGGTTCCATTTAAAAAAGGAGGGATAGTATAAACTAATATACGTTTGACAAAGACAGTTAATATAGAAGTAAAAACAAATAAATAAAAGTAATTATAACGCTCTAGCAACGGTATTGAAACGTTCTAGTAACATAGCAGCTACGTTCCAAATAGTAGCAGGGTTTATAGCTAGTGACATATTTGTTACCTTTTTGGAACTCAATAATTGTTCCCCACTTTAGTCGTAACTTAGTGATGAAAGAGTAATATAAAGAGACCGGCGACTGTTGCAAAACACTTTAAAGTTTCTTCAATAGTCTCATATAGGTAACAAATACTTAAATTGTTGCTTGGGTATTGTTATTGGAAAAGGTTTTATATTACACAGCCCTTTTCCAATACGAGCAACGGGTTTTCGCAACGCGCGCGCCATCTGGTGGACGAATGCATTGCGTAAATTTAAGAATTGTCAACAATACATTTAAAGCACAGATTATACATCATTTTTAAATAAATAGGTAGTTTTTTTACAAAAGAGAGGAAGGCAGAAGTCTTACTCGACAAATTTTATTCAATTGCACAGCTAAATCGCGCACGTTACTTGGGTTTTACGTTGCAAGGAAAATATTAGTACTCGATTTCGATTGATTATTCCTTATATCATTGATTAAGAAACTCAACGCTTAAATGCTTATATAGTTACGTTAGTGTGTGTATTTTATCAAAGGGATCATGGTGAATTATTGTGTTTTTAATTGTAAATAGAATTTAAGAACTAAATCGTTGAATTTTCATGTTTTGCCAAAGGATCCAATTCGGTAAGTACATTTGTTGGTGCAGAATTAACTAATGATAACTTTACCTAATATAATTCATATTTAAGTTTGGACATTCTTAATCAACGCTTTTAATAATGCTGAATGCTGTTTAAATTTAGACGACTTATTTGTTTGACGATTTTTACTGAATTGAAATGTTTACACTTTTCACGTTAATCACTACTAAAATGTGTATTTATTGTTTCTAATAGGTACAATTTATATTTACAGAGACTGTGTGCAATTTATTTCTTCATTCAGATTAACACTGTTTATTGGAAAACCGGTAAAAACTCAACCCAGGATTTCCTCTCGTAATACACCCAACAACACAACAAATCGAGCCACGTTTTTTGTTATAATAGATATTATATATGAGTCAAACCACGTCAAGTGGGACCAGAAAATTTCACGAAATCACCGATTTTGAAAATAATCACATTATTGTGTAGTAGGCATGACTCATATGTCACAGTAAAAAAATTGTTTTAAAATTCGTTTTTTTGGTAATGTTATTAAGGTTGACAATTTTGTCAAACTTTAGAGCACGGTAAAATTGAAAAAATAGAATCTCTGGGACCACTCTGTATAATTGAATTAAATTTTACACACTATTGTAGAAATGTTTAGAGTATATAATGATCATTTAATTAAGGTTAATTTGTTTAAATAAAAGAATTTTGCATACATTTATTATAAACAATTGAAATTTTGTATGTGTTCTTCACGCTGAAAAAAAATTAATCTTTTGTCATAATATGCGGCAAACGTTTCCGTTTAATAAGATGTTCTCAAAAATTTGCCTTTCATATGTCATTCCGGAGATATTAATTTTTTTGTCCCGCTGTGCGCTTGATCAGTACGCGGCGCGCTTCGCTGCTAGCTCGTCCGTTCGAACGGTTTAACGGTGTACCTGAACGAAGTTTAAGTCACATAAAAATGCCGCCAAAAACTGATTGTAGTTTCTTGTTCGGGACCCTTTGGTGACTTAAAAATGATATTTACCAAAGTTCTAGCTGCTCCTCTTTTCGAAATTGTTCGAAAATTCATGATTTTTTTTTAAATTTTTGTTTATCTCTTAGACAAAGTACACATTTGCACACGGATTTTTATAAAATTGGAGTATATTATTAAGGAGACTAAGGGCCGGTTTTTCAATCGTTGGTTAAGTTTATCTTACGGTTAATTTCCTTAGATACAATTTTTAACACAATAGTATCTAAGAAAGTTAACCGTAAGATAAACTTAACCAACGATTGAAAAACCAGCCCTTAGAGAATATTTTTTAATACTGTTCACATCATTTGATATATACAGGGTTAGCCAAAAATCACTTATTTTTAATAATGCAAAAGCGTAAATTCATGTTTTTTGCATAACACTCGAAAAATATTTATTCCCAAATTTTTTTAGATATTTATAGGTCTATCAGGTTACAAAATGGCATTATTATTAACCTTTTACAAGAAAAATAGATTTGTAATAACATTTAATAAAATAACGCTTAGAGAGTATTTAAAATGTTGTTTAGTTTAGGCTTTTTAGTAGTTTTCAATTTTGAACGAAAAATTGGTTGAAGTTAAAAAATATATTTACCAAAATTCTAACTGTTTTTTTTTTAATTTGTAAAAAATTCAATTTTTT